AATGTAAATCATATACAGTACCAATCAATCCAAAGCATTTTAAGGGAAAGAACTCTTCATTTTCTTAAATGTATTTTTTTTTAAATGAGAGTGATCTTCCTTTGCAAAGTGACTTATTCCAGTATAAAACAGTAGTAAATGAAAGGTTGACATACCTGCAATAACTCCCAAGACATAAATGAGAAAAACTCTCCAAAATTTATGAACTAACTCTAAAGGCAGACCCAGCAGTAACTGGAAGATCAGATTAGAAATCAGGTGGATGTACCTACGGAAATAGAAATATAAGGTTATAAATGTGAATTACATCTTTAGATCTAGAGGGGGAAAGGGGTGTAGTCTGGACAAACACCCCCCTTCTCCCTCTCTCCTGGAATATGAGGGGACATAACTCTCAGAAAAGTTTAAATCACACTTTCCTGCATATATGAACATCAAAACAGTAAATATGTCATAAATTCTTAAATTTCTGTTGACTTCATGGTTTAAAAGGAGTTTCATTAACAAACTGTTTCAGTAGTATATTAACATATATAATTGGTCAAACTTCTAAGTTCAAATGGGGCATGAAAAGATGAATCAGAATATTTTGTAATATGGATATTTTCATGCTACTGTGGAATCATCAATGTTCATGGTAAAGGAGTTCCTGCATCACCTGATATATCCACGAATTCATTAATATCCCCACAAACAATTATTTTAATTGCCAAAATATTCATTATAATATTGAATTTCTTGTTTGCACAAGTTGCCCTCTAAAGTTATGTCCACACAAACCCTTCCCAAACCCCCAAACCCCCCCCCCCCCCCCCAGATCTGTGCATGACAAAGGGATTGTGCTGACAACAAACGAGAAAGACTAAGGGATAATGCTTGACTGATAGATAGATCAAAAACCTTATACCTCCTGCAACTCATTGACCCACCATGGGATATAAAAATGTAGGTTGACAAACTGTTTTCTAAAGTTCAGCAGTCGATTAATTAAAAAATATTTATTAAAAATCACAAATAAATTTATTAATAAGTAGTGTTTCCATTAAGAAGATAACAAACAAACTTCATGATGCAAATACATCAATGAAATTTATATTTGTTTCATATTAAATAATCAACTGATACCTATACCCTCTAATACTGATGTCATTGACATGTATAACTTGGCTGGGTTCAATTACCTTGAAATATAATTTTGGTACATTCACTGAAGAATAAACACAGATTAAAATAATATTAAAAATAAACAGCATCAGGTGCCTGTTTTTTTTTTTTTCAAAACAAGACCATTAGTCCTACATATGGTCTCTTCTACCTATTCCCACTTTTTAAAAATCTCAATTCCACCTATTCCCACTTGCAAATAACAATGGATGTTTAGATAGTTAATTCGTTTTATTAATAATTATACTAATTACATCCCCTCTTAGATTCACCTGTATTTTGTTTACTTTTTAAGTCAGAAATTTGTGAGAAATATTATTTATTTCCTTCAAAAATATGTACTTGAGAAAGTAACAAAAAAGGTCTTACAAGAAAATGAATTTTAATATCTTGATTTTAGAACATATATAATAAATAGATTTTTCGAGGAAAGGCATTTAAAAAGGTGGATTCTAGAATTAATAAATTAATGGGGAAAATCTTATTTAATTCCCTTAAAAATCAATTTTTTCTTTCAAATATTGGTAAAAATTCTTATTATTTTAAAAAAGCAAATATACCAGTCCTGGCCTCTATAGGTGTTCATTAATTATTGTTTATACACTAATTGTATTTTTTCATAGTTAATTATTTGTTTACACAAAAATTCCACCTATTCCCACTTGAAATCCTGACTTTTCCTACCTGATTTTCAAAAAGTGGGAATAGGTAGAATGAACCCTACATACATGTATAGGTGTTAATTAATTGTTTGTCTTTATGAAATTTGATTATGATCAAGTGAGTTTCCAAGAGATAATGAATCAAATGTAAAATACTCTCAACCTATCTCATTAAACAGTCATGAAAGGTCTTTTTTTCCCTTTTCATTAAATTTGACCAAAAAAAGAATTACAAATTTTCAATGGCTATACTAGAGAACAAACAAAAAATCTGTGAGCCAATTCTTACTGGTAAACATCCCCCCTGCTAATAATACCAAAATTAAAACCTCATTTTAAGTCATTTTATCAACTATGGACATAAAATAAGACTGTTTATATCCTTGTTTCATCAACTTTTTGTCAGTAGTTTGCCTCGTTTCATAAATGTTTGTAGAGCATGCTTTTGTGTATCCATTCAACTGAGAGACAAATCCCCATATGCGAGTGATATTAATGGTTTACTGCTACATAAATAAGGGAAGTTTATCATTAAGTTCTGTAATAAGGTTACATCAGCTTCTTTTTCTAGTAAAATATCCAAATATAAAACAGATGTGACAGACTCTGAGGAACTTTTTTCTATCTCATACCCAAAGGGTTAAATCGAATCAATGTAGGAAAACAAAAGAATATTGTTTATTGATAGGACATTATCGATATATCTTAAAGGCCACAGCAAGAGACTACATCATGCTGTTGTGATAAAACATGGATGAGGTGATTATATTTATTTAAGACTATAAATGGAAAGTATAATCAATATGAACCACAGTATTCATAAGTGAAGATCGACATATAATTTTTGAATGCAAATAGACATGCAACTGAAGTGTAGATAATTTACACATAGCTCTGCATAAACAATTAATCCCATTACTAAAATATAATTTATTAACAAGTCTTTATTTTCACAAAAATGTGTGATATACAGTATTCCCTCCGCACAATTCTCTATTGGACCATTTCAATGATTTGCTGTTTCATAAATTATTTAATGATCGAAAATTATCAGGTTTTGTCCTTGATTTATTTTCAAATCAGATTTAGCTTAGTAATAAATTAGTTATTCAGAGAGATATTTAGAACAAGATAAATAGGTATTACTAATCAGTCATACTTAATTATTAGTAATACTGTGGCTGTTTTATTGGTCCCCACCTTTGATTTTGCAATAATCATTGAACTAGTCAGATGTTTCCCAGAGTGTATATATTTTTAACTTTTACAAAGTACATTAAGTTGATTTTGCTTATATATAAAAAAAAAATTTAAGATAGTAATTTTTTTTAACCTTTATAAATTTTTTTTTTTTTTATATTTAATTAAAAATGATTCTTAATGTTTGCATTAGTAGTTGTACTCATTGGCAATTGAAAATTGTTAATTAGTGAAAGACAGTATTATACTGCATTAGTAATTTCGTCATTTTATTAATAAATGACCTTTTTCAATTCAAATTGTGTTTATCTCTTTGCTGTAAATCAAACGAAGCTAATAGTTTTGCTTGGGCGAGATGACAAAAATAAGGAATACTGGTAAGATTTAAACCTGTGTCAAGCGAATAACTTGACATCATATTTTCCATTTTACAATTTGGTTTCTGTTCCATTTTCCATAGCAACACCCGTTACATATGTCAAATGTGTACCTTAGTGTTTACATCCATAAATAAAATGGATACTTTTTCTTGATAAATCAAGATACAATGAAAACTTTTGGCCTCGCAGGTGCACAGAGATATAACAACATACCCTTGGTGTAGAAACATATAGGTGACAAATCTCCACGCTTCGTAGCGCCTGGTTGGTTTATACAACAGAGGGCTGTACAGGGGGACTCCCGCGACTGAGGTGGTGGCTATACCCCGAGATTTCTGCTCCTCAGCGTACACAGCAAAAATTATTATCTAAAAACCATATTCAAATGCAATAATTTCATTAATAAAAATGTTCTTAATACATAATTTCTAAATATTCTGATTGATTTCTATATAGTTTTGGTCTTTAGTTTATTTCAACACCAAGACATGCAACATACACCAAAGCAAAAAACAAAATGCTTGATGGATACATTGTTACAGCTATGAATATAAACTGTCACATTGGGAAAAGGTATGATTACAATATCCTTAATCTTAAAATGTACTTCTATAGATATACTGATCTCTACTTCAAAATAATCCTTTTTAAGGCCAATCTGACTCCATTGAATCTGCTTCTCCATACCTCTACAATGCTGATGAAGATCATGAAGATGGGAGGAGGTTTACAGTTGTAGTTAGCTATGAAGTCCTCTCGCATGCTCTGAGGGACAATGTTAGCAATGGCTGCCCCTAGCAGGCCTCCTAACTTCTTCCTTTCATGATCCTTTATTTCGTCCCCAGTCATCTACATTAAAATAAACAAATGTAAGGCATATATTATACTTAATTTTGCCTCCACTCCCTTTTGCTATTAATCTTGTTTAACTTAATATAATAATAATATAAAAAGATATTTTTTTCTTCAAATTTGTTCAAGCTATGAAATAACTGTTGACAATTCCTTGATTTCTCTGTAAGACAGAAAGAGAGAATTATTTAATTCCTTTCTCCAATGTATCTTTAGGTCAAAATGATGAGTTGACCTTGACCTTACATTTTGCCATAAACAAATTATTCTCTTCAAGTGAAAGTTAAAATAGTTGAGGCAGAAATAAAGTCAAGAAATTAAAGAAGTCCCTCCATTCAATTTGGTAGGGAGCAATAAAAATTATTTCTAGTCTATTTCTAAATGAAGTGATTTGTAGATAATGATAATTCATCAAACAATCTGAACATTATTGCTTATTCCCGTGCTCTAACCATTCTGACAAACTCGCCCAGTCGGATTCTTTTGTCTCCATCCTTGTCGGCTCGTCGGAGGAGTTCGTCCAATCGCTCAGGAGCGATACTTTCCGTCAGTCCCTCCTCTTCCAGCTCCTCTCGTAAATCACGTAAAGGTACGCCCTGTCTGCCATGCTGTAGAAATGATAATGATTAGATAAAATTATTTACAGTTTTATAATAAATTTTGCAAGACTTAAAAGCTTCTTAAAATAAGGAATTCTGAAATAAATATCTTTAATATTTTTACTATAATATTACAAGACCATAATGGTATATATCTGCACAAAATCTGGATTAATCTACAAATGTTATTTTTAAATCATTTGTAAAATATCAATAAAAATTTTAATCAGGTAAATCAGAAAAAGCTGCATTTTTTAGATAATTTTACTTTTTGTCCCCAGGTTAATTGTATATAATTATGTATATCTTAAAATGTCACTTAAATTTTTAAACATCTCCCAGATAAAATCTATACAAATAGAATCAGGTTCAAAGTAAGAGGTTATAGAGATCATAAAAGTGTTATCTTTATCACTTGCATAAAGCCAGAAAAAATGCCATAAAATATTATACTTATGCATGTCTAGAATTTTTGGTAAAGTATCTTCCTAACAGAGTCATAATAAATCGTAAGATTTCCCTACCTTCTCAAACATGGGGCGGAATCTCTGAAAAATAAAACAGAAGGGATTTAATGAACTTGATACTTTTCTATATCTACATTTTTTATATTAATAAATTGAATAACTTTTTACCTTTCATTTCTCTATAATGCTACTAATTATTAAAGCATAAATTTTATTCTAAAAAATTATCAGTAATTTAAAGTCAAAATCAAGGATCTTACAAAAATCACCTCAACAAATGTCTTCTACATGAAAGGCTCATATCAAAAGAAATTTCAATTTCATTAAAGGTGCATTTCATACTTTCATCATTATGATATCAATGAATGAATTACTCATATCAAAAGAAATTTCAATTTTATTAAAGGTGCATTTCACACTTTCATCATTATGATATCAACCAATAACTCACATCTAGAAAATATTGTGGGGAAAGACTGAATTCATATGTATGGATCTCCTTGTATACAGTCACTAATTGATTTATCCTTGCAAGTTTAGTCCCGGCTAATGCCTCATAATATACATGTATATTCAGTAACTTGAATATGCTCCTAAAACTTATACCTGACTACTGGTCTTAATAACATACGTATAGGTACAATGCAGATTCTAAAGCATGTCAGGTATTAATTCAGATTCTGTAAATTAATGCTTCGTCCATGCAAATTCAGATGGTCCAGGTAGGACTTTACCATGGGGGTGCCCCAAAAATCTTGGTCCTTGTAACACTCATCCACAAAACTTTGTACAAAGATCAAAAGCTGGAGTTACATAAAAAATCCATTGTTCATTTGTTGCTTCATCCATGTTAAAAGTTTAGTCCAGGTAGTGTGCTTTAACTTTGAAATAGATATGCTTCTTTCCAAACTTAAACCTGACTTATATTCATTCCCAGAAATATTCAACCTGATGCAACAACCACAGCATGAAGTGAAGGTACTCAGCATCCCAATTCCTGCTAGTTTGAGTCATGTAGTTCCTAAATGGGCACTATGCAATTATAACAACTTGGGGGGGGTCTAAATTTTGTTCAGGTAAGATAAAATATTAATTTATTTCACATTTACAAATAAGGATGATAATGCAATTTCTGAATCATTTAAAAATCAAAATTTTCCACAAAAGGAAATGCAACAAAATTACAAGCAGAATATATCATGTCAGCTCCTTATTTTTCTGATTTCTGGAATAAATGATTCATGCTAGACTTGCAATTAGGTCACCACCCAAACATGCAATCAGTCATGAAAAATTCCCTGTCTTTGATCAATCATCCATCAAAAAAATGCTTGAAAATATCAATTTGTCAACTGTTAATTACCTATACCACCAATCAAGGTGGCCATCCATCTAAATGTGGCCTTCCATTAGTCAGGTCTCAATTTCAGGCCCACTGAAAAGTACCAAGATTCTATTTCACCTTTTTTTTTTTTTTTTTTTTTACAATAATTCAAAGTCATGACTGTGCAGGCAAGGAACTGTTCATGAACGTGAGACAACTGCCCTAAATCTTGTTTCTGGAGTTAATACATGTACTCTGGATTCTGTAAATTTTGTTATTCTTATGCACTAACCACAACTATAACTGTCCATTTATATCAATATCATTTTTAATATGTGCAAGTAAGCATTTCATTAGTAAATAATAACCATTCATCAAATGTTACTTTGTTGGTGCTTTCATTACAATAAAGGTAAACAAGTATTATATTACTCGGGAAAGGGAAATGTGCACTTTTTAAATTCCTGTTTGATTAAAGAAAATACATGCAAGTCACACCCTTGAGAATACCTACATCTTCCATTTCCTAGTTAAGATTCAGAAGAAAAAAATAAAACATGTAAATAGATATTGCAAGTGGAGAAAAAAATAGTTAAAGTATGGTCAATTTAGCAAATCCCAATAACAAGCTGAAAACCTCGCTAGGATTACCTGCGTGGACGGCCTAATGGACATTTTTTACAGTATAACTCCGGTTACAGAGAATTAGGGACAATCTTTTGACACTCAAAACCTGAATCTCAGTGAAAAGCTCGAAGTCAAAAAAGTTTAAATGGTGGAAACTTTGTGCTAGAAATATGTACACACTATTTTAACCTGGTCATGTCATGGCAATCAGGGATTAAAAGATTATAAATGAAATTGTTTACTTGACATCAAGCTTTCAGTTATTTTTTTTTTTCATTTTTTATGCATGCTGTTTATAAATTATATGTACCCCTTTGATGTCATCCAGTATACAGGTATATATGACACATGTCACGTTTATTTATAAACAAAATATCTTGTTTGCTGTCATCGATTGATGTCTAAATCGGTCAACTCTCTACCCCCCCCCCCCCTTTCAATTGTAAGCTTACCCTGATCAAATCATTCCTCCTCTCCTCCATTGCTACATCTTCTCGGGTCCCCACCCGTCTATCCCTTCGACCCTCCACAGACATTTTAATGTGCTTTCACTTTCCCTGTAAATTTCTCCTGTCTGTTACCTGTATTGCGGAAATGTCTCAGTTCAATGAACCATAAATTGATCAATAGAGAACAAAAACGCGGGAAAATCAGTCAACAGACTTTCGCCTAGCCTGTCCACTTCTCCAAAGAAAATAGGACTGACAGTCGGAACTGGACCGTAAGAAGAAATTTCAGATAAGGGGAGGGGGCACAGCCAAATATTCTGAGTTGGGGGCAATATCAACTACCAAATATTAAAAAAATCCTTAATAAACCAAAAAAAATGTTATCAGACCGTAATGTTTTTATTGATGGGGAACAAGTGTATATAGTAGCTTATTTTTCTATAGTATTCTATATTTCGGCAAAATAATCAGGGGAGGGGGCACGCCCCCCCCCCCCCGTGCCTCTCCCCACCGGTTCCTATGGCTGTGGGGAACAAGGCTAATGCATGTGCAAAATATTTTTAGAATAAAAATAGAGATTTAATAAACATATGATTTATTGTACCCCTCCCCCACCACCTTAAAAAACTCGACCATTTCTGTTCTTTATAATGATTTATGGAAATCCGTGCTTAAAATACACTTCGTTTACACGATTTACTCTTTCCTATCCAAAAAAGTATACAGCTTTTACGATATTCTTTGTATATTTTGTTAAGTCAACTGGCTCATCAAAATTACAACTTTATGTATTTTTTTTTTAAATCTCATAGTTACTAGGATAATCCTGAATTACCGACAGAAACACCTACCTGATATGAATTACCAGGTGCTTGATGTTCGGACACTCTCCAAATTACCAGCTATTTGTTTAATTTCTTCTCGGAATGTTATACTACAGGCATCTTTATAGACTATCTGGAGTAAAAAAAAAACAAAAACTAAAAAAAAAAACGTAAGCAGGAAGTATTTAAAAGGGGCTTTGGAGTACAGACCATGCTAACACTACAATAGAAAAAATGTTTAAAAGGATGTACTCGTATATACTTTGTTTCCAAACTTGAAATGCCCCTCCACTTTCTTTGACTTTAACACATTTTATTGAATGAATAAAAGGGATTGAAAACACGTTCTTACAATTTACCATTGGCACCTGACGAACGGCTGGTACCCCTCCAACTTTCTGAGATGTTTTATTCGATCTATTATTTATATAATCCTTTATACTGGGAATTTTCAAAGATGCAGTTTTTGTTTCGTTGGGATAGTGAAATTTTTCATTTCATTGAAAACATGTAGGGTTTATTGCTTAAAATATTTATTTGTATATTTGTTATTTTTTCTCAATCCAATAACTTATAATTATTAGATGTTAAATACTGTCCATTCTTTTTAATAATGGACAGATATTTTCACTTATTGGACAGTTACATGTAACATATTGGACTGTCTTGGGTCTTTCAAATATAGAAAGTATATCAAAATGACAGAAGAAGAATCATACTAATGCTTTATGTCAAGTGTTAATTAAAATCTTCTTCCAGAATTAACATGTTCGCAAAACGTTTCTGATCATTAATTACAAGGTTTGTAAGCTAGGAGTGAAGTGTGACGTTGTGTGATCATTGTATTATGAAGCAAGAGTAGGTTGATATGTATGCGTGTTACATCAAACTTTTTTGATTGATTGATTAATTGTATGTTGTTAAACGGCCCTCTCGAGAATTTTTCCCTTATATGGAGACCACTTGCCAGTGCATTGGTGTCGGAAGCAAATTAAAAGGGGAGATGGGCCAAGTGTAAAAGAAAAAAATCAAACCTACCAAAAAAACATGACAAGAAAAAAAAGGTAGATTGCCCAAACACGAAAATCCAATTTCGTGGGGGAGGGGCGGGGGTTAGATCGAACTTTTTTCAGTACAGTTTTTTTTCCAAATACTAATACTTACCCATTGTTTACTTGAACTCCAACGTGCCTGTTGAAACTGGGGGTGGGTTTTTTTCGTGCCAGCACGGGACCTTGGTTTATACGGTCTCATCCGAAGGACCGGTCTCCACGTCCCACAGTAAGATTCGAACCCGTGACGTAAGGATCAATTTTTAACTCCTTCGCGACTCTAGAGTAGACGCTCTAACCACTGCGCCAAACTTTTTTGAAAAAACTTTCTAAAATTGGATACTTTTTTATTTCTATTAAGTGAAATTTAGACGAAAAAAATGCTTGCCAAGAAACAGTCTTCAGACTTTGAGGAAAAGACTTGGAGGGCCACAACCATAATTAAACTAAAGTACATGTATAATCTGAAAATTCATTGAAAATACACAATTTTATCTTAAATCTTATTCTATTACACGATCAGCTGGAACAAATTTGATCAACAATTGCAAGTGAATATTAATTTTCTAAACAAAATGATACATGTTTCTGTGAAGGGGGGGGGGGGGTCATAGAAAAAGAATATTTTTTAAAGGCTGACAGATATTCAGTTCAAGTTATCTCAACAAGGTACAAAAAACCACACAGATAACTCAAATATGTGCACACATTTTTGTAAATGCAGAAAAGGTGTGTTGCTGTGTGTTATCAATGAACCTCAATTCAACGATCTGCATTTATTGTTGGCCACTTATCAATATCTGAACGATAAACTGTACACACATACACCTGTCGCTTAGATTGATAAAACAGGAAGGTATAACACACAAGGCGGGTGTTGTCTCCACGATTCCTAAGAAAGTCAAAAGAGAAAAAATCCAAGAAGACCATGGATCGCCAAGACTTCACTCGTGACTGGTACCAAAAACAGAACTTTCACTCGCCAGGAAGTGTGGAGATGAGGGACCTCCGACGCCCAAGGACAGCGACTGATCGTATGTATTCGCCAAGTGATCATGGGGAGTACCGAAAGTCCAGACAAGGGGAGCCAATCCCAGACTACCAGCCTATGGACCATCATATCGATAAAAGATATGTCCCTATGCCTGGCATTGCCATTCCTCGAAATCGAAATAGCTTTGCTGGTGAAGGTGTAAACCAACGACATGTTCAGAATGGAAACTTGAACCGATTTGGTGATAATAGACAGGGATATATCAATGGAGGCTTTGCAGAAAATAAAAGTCCGAGAAATTCTGGAGCATATGAAAACACAGACGAACGCCAGCGGCCACAAAGCATTGCCCCTAGACCTAGAGAGTCGGCGTACATAATGTATGACGGTAACAAGTACACGGCGTCGGAGTACAACCATTACATTGTCCCAGCAGCGGAGGAAAAAGATAGGCCGGCATGGGTTGCGAAGGCAAGTCCATATAACGAAAAGGACGAGATGAATGAAAAAAGTGGTCCCGTATGTAGCGTTGCAATTTTGGCGCGTATAATCGTGATCGTCTGCATCGCTTGGGATCTGTCTATGCACTGGTTGTTGGTGGCCGTCAACATTAATTTTGAAGGTACTGAGACTGATATGACATGTTCAGAAAATACGAACGTCAGTCTGGCATTTGGAAACGTAACTACAACCGTAGACCCAATATGTGGGAAACCAACGACGGTGTGGAGAGTGTTTGCTGCGTTTACTTTAATTGGATCCCTTCTTTCCATTATTCAAATAATTAACATTGGATGTGAGATGATCAAAACCTTCAAACCAAGCGTGTTCCAAGTATTACACGGTCAAAGCGAAGTATTGCTTGTTCTGTTCTTCACCCATCTTCCACAGATAGGTATGACTCTATCCTTCTTTTCCCTGTGTATCTGTAATGTCGAGTCAAACGGGAAGACGATAGCCCTGTACGGCCTTCTGAGCGTCATCAGCGCTACAGTGTCGTTGACGGCGCGTTATGCTACCAGTTTTGGCGGACTCGTCACGAACGGAGGATGCTGCAACACATGGTGGCGTTGTGCTTGTTGCAAAAACCCCGAGTACTTTTGCCGTGTTCGACCGAGGGAAGTCTGCTGCACGTGCAACGTGCCCTGTCCGCTCTGCTGTTGTACATTATACTGCAGAAGCTGCAAATGGTCGCCGCAGACTTGGTGTGCGCCATTAATGAAGGCGTTTTCGTGTTTCTGTGATTGTTGTAAAACGGATGAAGAAATGTATGGTATCCGAATGGTTAACAATTTGGGACTCTTAGTACTTTGGTTTTGTTCAAGCTTTCAAATAGCCATGTATATAATTACCTATGGCTAGTTCATTCAATCAATACTGTTTTTCAAACAAAGAAAATTGATTACTTCTTTAATTTAACGGAGCTGTTGAACAAGTAGTCAGAGACTTGGACTTGACAGATACTTATGATGACTTAACGGAAATCATTTTATTCTATTATGATTTCCTCGTGAACATGTATGTCGAATTGTCAGTTATTAAAAGGTGACAAGTTAAAGCAAGTTAATGAAACGCTTTTTTAATAAAATACATGTACTTATACATTGTATTCTGGTCTTGACTAAAAATCTGAAAAGTGAGCAGAAACAAATTTTGTCAGAAATATGTCACCATACAAATCAGTTGCGTGGGGTGTTTAACAGAGTGACTTGTTTGATACCTACAATGGAATATATTTTTTATTGAAATTGATTCATTTGTTTAAGTTATTTCAAATTACAGCCTATTTGTGATAAATTGGAAAGTATATTTGTCCTAAGTATGGATTTATTTATGTCTGCAATTTTATTTATTTATTTTTTTATATATTTTTCCAAGAATCTTTACCGATATTCTCAGCAGCAATGTCATATGTCAAACTAGATCTTTAAATATTTATTGAATTACTTTTGAAATATAGCTCGATAACATTACAAAAGCGGAGACACAATAGTTGGGTAAAGAGGATACAGGAAAACGCTGTCTAATATGATATGTGATATCATTTAGAAATTTTTGTACTGTTTTGATTTTTTTATTTTTGTCTGATTTGGTTTGTTCTTTGTCTAGTCCGTTTATTTTTCTTATCCACAATTGTATATGATGAATGTAGATGAATAAAGATTGTGTGCATTTTTTTTTTATTTAAGTATTATGCAACAGTCGATTTTTCAAATTTCAAATACCTTTTATGGCCCCAAATAATCGATACACTTATAGATATCTTATCAGAAGAAACGGGGAAGTTTTGAAACCTAACCAATCAAAGAACTACTGGAAAGAAATTGTGTTTTGTCTTGAGATTTGTGGATAAGAACTACATTCGAAGTGTATAGCTGTATGTGCAATTGACACAGTTTTGAAAGTTTCTCCGTTCAGAGTTTTAATGAAAATCAAATGACATATATTGCATAACAATAATAATGATTCTTTACACTTATTATGCATAGATTTATTACAATTGATCGTTTATTACTTATAATTTCTATGTCTTTTAAAATAAACCAATATAAAATAACTACCTTTCCTCATACGATTGGTCTCGAAAGTGACATTTGTTTATGATTGTGAGGAATTGTATTCAGCATTGTTCATAGCATGTTTCCAGAAAACTGCTAACAAAGCAAACGAGAGCCCCATAAGCACAATGTTCGCCCGAGTCAGATTGGCTCTGCTGCCCTTCCTCAGATTTATATAATAATATGACTAATCAAAGCCAACAGTTCTTGATTTTTAAAGTTGTTTAAGGAATCACTGTCTAGTTAGTATAGTATGGCAGGGCATCAACGATAGTGGGAAACATGGAATAATTTGCATAACGGGCGAAGCCCGTTATGCATAAATCAACATACCCGAAAAATAGAAACAGACTCAAAAACCCTATTTCGTTTTGGAGGGGGTGTTCCAATTAGTACCATTTCTTTTTTACTCGAACATATTACATACACAGGCACGTAGCAATGGGGGGGGGACAGCCCCCCCTTTTTTCCCAACATTACCTTTACTATTGAAAATGTCCATTGAAAGGTTGGTTGCCCCCCTCCCCTATTTTTTACCACAGTATAGTGATATCAAGGAAATGAAGTATTGTATGCAAAAAAAATTTGACGTGAAAGGAAGTTGGTCTTGAAAAATGCTGACTACCCCCCCCCCCCCATCCCCCCCCCCCCCCCCGAAAATTGGGCAATTTTTTTTTTTTTTTTTTTTTGCTCGTCAATTTTTACAGGTAAGTAAAAAAAAATTTTCTCTGGTTGCCCCCCCCCTTTCAAAAACGATGCTACGTGCCTGTTACACATAACCCTTATTTGACTTTACTGCAACAGAAAAGGGGGAAGGAGGCAGCCAGACTTTCCATGAACATTTTCTCTAGTTAAAAAGTTACCCCCTCCCCCGATGCTATATGTCCTTGACATGAAAAAGCGTAATAAAAGACACTATATATTATATATGAACAATGCTGAATACAATTCTTTGCAATCAATGAACTTATAAAGAATTATGCAGGAAACTGATTTCTTGATCACCGGTATATGAATAAGAATGTCTTGTAAAGTAAGCCTATTATCACCTTTCAATTTTGTCCTTTTGAGCAAGTAATTCTATATATGTCGATGCACGAATACTACCATCTTTTTGACGCATATGTACTTTGAATGCAATCTTCAAGGCTTAACGTCTGACATTTCTGAAGTTTATCAAATTAAAGCATGAAATCCGGTAGCTGCAGACCTATAGTATTATGGTTTTATATTCTAGTCTTTGGTCATATCGCTACCAATTCTTTAATGCAATTTTTAAAAAATGTGCAATTTACGGCACAAGATTTTTATAATGCACTGTTGGGGAAAATTTCTCCACTTTCCAGCATTGATCAATCAACTACCTTTCACTAATTCTAGACACATTCTTTAACCAATCTGTATATCTAATCCACCTCCCATCCATTGGTGCTTTCCTTTACATATGAAACAAGATTACGGATTTTTCAATTTTATTCTATCATGTGACAGGTAAATTAGCATGCCATGTGATTCACCAACTGAGCTAAATATTGAACAAAAAAGTTCTTTACATGAGTATGATTTGTAAGCAGTGTTTCTTATTTCCGCCATACTATCACATGATTAAACTTGGCCATATAAGGAGACTCTTATCATTTTGTTTTTCTCTCTCCAAAGAAATTCTTTCAGGAAGACAGTAAAATAAATTGCAACTTAAAATCTTTAATACCAGTTCAACATTTTCTATACACAATAGACATACAATATACCAATAAAAAAAGAGCAGTGAATGTATACTGGAATTCTTTGGCTTGAGACTTTTGAGGATTCCAGGCCATCATTTTATACAGCATCCATCTAAACCCACATACTGAACAAATAACAGGAACCTTTCATAGTCCACAAAACTTTGGGTACTATACAGTATATTCATGATTGATATTTTGTGTTTTACAGAAACCATTGTAACTAAAGCAATAAATTATAAAGTACAGTCAAACCTTATCCTCTTGACCTCAACAAGACCAAGGAAAACTTTTAGATATCAGATTCGGAGTATTCAAGATATTGAGGACAAATTAAATAGCAAGTGGTTTAGACTTCAAAATAATTCACTTGAAAGATCAAAGGTATGAAAGATACTGGTATTTGAGACCAAAGTTTGTCAATGACTGTATTGAGTTTTTCCCAAAGACAAAAGAATTATGTAATTCATAGGTACAGACGAATTATGTTCGTATTGACAAGAGTAATAATAAATAAAACTGATTGTAAACAGTAATCATTGTCCTTACCCATGTACTTAACATTAAGAATCATGATAAACACATAAAATATCACAGAGGATGAAATTAATGATAAATGCCTCACTTTTCCACTGATGCTTCTTACATACACACATTTACACCTCATCCAAAACATACAGCCGCTTACAACGCTTGACAATACATGATATCAGCATAAATGATACCTGATTTTTCTTTTTTTTGTAAATACAGTTTTCAAAGCATTCACCTGATGGAAATTTGCAAAACTAAAGAAAAAAATTTTTAAAGGAAAAAATGTCACAATTTTACAAAATTCATAACCTGATAATGATGAAAGAAATCAATATCTATATGCATTTTCAAACAATGCTCAATATTTGTCAAAAAAAAAAAAGATTGCACAAAAAAAACTTCCACCACAAAATTGTCAATGAAAATCCTTATGTTTTTTTTTCAGGCTTGGATAGCTAGATTTGCTATTTCTTTTTCCTCAGTCTTTTTCAATCATACTCATGACTGCTCTCCCTTTGTTTAAGGCCTCCACTAGATGTCCCTTTGTTGACATGAGTAAGTGTTTCCATGGCACCTGATTTGGTAATTCTGAAATGGAACATATATAAAATAGAAATGAGTTCTATCAAATGGATGTCATACCATGAATAAGCATTAGGGTATTTATTAAACCCTGAAGTTGTATCATATGGGTAATAATTAATACAAGGTTCATAAACCCTCTGCTAAGAAAAACTTCCCTATATAACTCATATGATTTTCCAAAATAAATGTGTTTTAAATAAACTACAAGCAATTTTATCATAGCTTGCAGGGAAAACTAACAACCCCCCTCCAACCCCCCCCCACATTTAAACATTGACTTATTTATAAATACACATATAATTATCAGTTTTAACACCCTTGCTAAATAGTACAAAATTGAGTTCTTGCTCAAATATCTGTTTATACAGTAGAATAAACTCCCTTCAGGTATCATATACTGTTTGGTGCATATAGCCATGATAACATCATCAAAGATGTCAGCTTCCAGGTGAAAAAAACAATTGAACATTTCAAAATGACCTATCACAGTTAAAACTTAGATACTATAACTGTTTTATTTCTTTACTGTTTGGCATACAATCAAGTTTACTGAAAAAAAAAATCTGGGTTGATAAAATTAAAAACAAAATCATCTATCCATTTATCCACAAAAATTGGATATTTTCATCACATTTATCATTCCAGGTCAAAACAAAGCTGTACATGGTCATTACTTATCATTCAAGGTCAAATTGAGTTGTACAAAGTCATTACTGATCATTCAAGGTCAAATGAAGCTTTTGGAGGTCATTATTTAGCATTTAAGGTCAGACAAAGCTGTACAAGGTCATAACATTTCATTCAAGGTCAGACAAAGTTGTACAGGGTCATTCCTTATCATTCAAGGTCAGATAAAGCCATACAGGGTCATTTCATATCATTCAAGGTCAGATAAAGTTGTACAAGGTCTTTACTTATCATTCAAGGTCAGAAAAAGGCTGTATAAGGTCATTACATTTTATACAAGGTTAGATGATGCTGCTTAAGGTCATTATTAACCATTCAAGGTAAGATAAAGCTGTACAAGGTCATTATTTTCAATCAAAGTCAAATAAAGCCTGAACAAGGTCACTACTTTTCTTTCAAGGTCATACAAAGGTGTACAAGGTCATTATGTACCATTCAAGGTCAGATAAAGTTGTAAAAGGTCATTACTTGTCATTCAAGATCAAAGGAAGCTGTACATGATCATTTCTTATCACACTTAATCATTCAAGGTCACATTAAGCAGTACAAGGTCACTACTTACACCTCGTCCATCTCCACCTCTTCCTCATCCTCCTCTGTGGGCACCTGGAGATATGGATTATCCGGAGCGGGCTGGAATTTGTATCCAGTGATGATGAAGAACACTAATGTGGCAAGTTCCTTAAAGAGTTCATCTAACCATTCATACTGGAAGGGTACAGTTATCTGGAGAGAGATAGGATGAGGAATAATAACATGTATGGATAGGGCAACTAAATCTGGTCTTCTATTGTTTGTAAGTACATCTATGTAAGTTATAGGAGCCATGGGACTTTCGACAATCACTAAGTGAATCAGTCATTATAAATACATCCTAGTCAATTAGAGAAATTTATAAAATCCCCAAACTATCAAATGTAACATGAAATCAAGAATAACTTTAACATTTTTATTCATTATCTCTAGTTTATATTAGGCAGCACAAAGAATTTAAAGATGCCAGATCTTTAAGATCACAGACTGTAGCAATATGAAACTTATAGCACAAATAAAGGATTCAATGTTTCATTATTGTAAAAAGAATAGAATGTAGAAAAAGCCAATGACTTTCAACAAACAGCATATTTTGATCGGAACTCATTTTAACCTATGGTTCAGGTGATCTAAAATAAATTACTGTAGAAGTACTTTTTTCCATGGGGTCATAATTCCGCAGAATTTCCATTTCTGTTGAATCCGTGAATAGAAAATTACGCGGATTTCCTAGACTGTCACTACATGCCTTACATTTATATTAAGAACACATGGACAAATTTCCGCGGAAAATTTGTGACCGCATACATAGCGTAAATTAATACCACGCAGAAAAAAGTACTTCTACAGTATAATGTACTTTCAAAATATGAATGCAATTATAAATCAAATATCTAAATTTGACAGTGTAACTTTATGATGAATTAATTTAATATCTATGTGAAAAAAATATTTTACAGTAGTTTTACTTACCTTTACTAGGTAAACTATAAATCTTGTAAAGTAGATATAACATACAATCTGAAAGAGGCAGATCAAAACATCATTTTAGTCCATCATTTTGATAAAAATCCAATCACAACAGTGTTTGTAACACTGGGAAACTCATCCATAATATGGAGACAGATTGCAGACTAAATGAAGTAAAACTCACCATAGCATGGATACAAATTGGAGATTAATTGAAGTAAAACTCACCATGATATAGAAATGCCTGAAGAGGGCTAGTTTTTGTAAACTGAGTGCAGCTTTCCCATCTGTTCTTGTGGACTGTCGTAAATGTCTCATGGACCTGTAAAAAGATGATAATCTTCCTGAGAAACCTCTTGTTTGTTGAGCCTGCATGTACAAATTCTTCAATAAGAATTATTAGTATGCCTCTATTCTCTCCATTCTTGTGACCTTTTATAAAGGTTAAATCGCAATTTTTAAAATTTTCTATCGTGTGTCTGGCTAGAAGAATAAAAGGCGAGGGGGGGGGGGGGGGGGGGGGCAACTTGTTGGTGAGAGGGGGTGTCCACATATCCTGGATGGTAAACTTACAGAATGTCAATATTTAGAGGTTTATCAGTTTTGTTGTAATACATTGACATATATGTACACTTTCATACATGTATTATAAAATTTTTTACCAACATCAAAGTGTTTTTCTCTGATCTTTAATACATACATCCAGAGGATGCTTCATTATCAATATGACCTTGGAGGATTTTTTTCTTCTTGAAAGACGCACCAAATAAAATTTCATCCCCAAATTTAGGCCCCATTATTATATTATATTTTTAAGGCTATAAAAATTCTCATATAAATCTGAATCTAAAACATATATATTTGAAATCTCATGTTATTCCAGCGGTGAGTATAACAAATGATTTTATGAAACTGTTCTTTGTAGATTCAAACATTGGAGTATGTGTGTTAGACCTACAAACATAAGAGTACATGTGTAAGAACAATTGTACGGATTAGCTTTATCATGTAATGTACAAAATGAAAACATGAAAAAATTATGTTTCTTAAGAGACATATTAAATCTTAATTATTGCCTTTCAAAAGATTATGTTATGGCATTTAATGTGTTTTATGGCATTTTATGGAAAAAACGACTGTCTGGGAATTTACATTAGCTGAAAGTACATTTCAGAGCTAGAATTTGATAATTTTGACGATTATTTTTCTCACTGTTCACATCTAAGAGTGCACATCTTTATGTAATAAAGGTGAAAGAAAAAGATTGTTTCCTGCACTTTACTTATATAGCTCTTGCAAATGGTAAAAGAACAGATTTTCCCCTATCTATTCCTTAGTAAAACTTTAATCACATACTCCCTCCATCCCAATGGAGATAGACTACCTGGAGAATCATATCAATATGACAAATCAATGGCTTCTCCATGAAAAGAAGATTTAAAAAGATTTATTCTAGACTTTTGTAAAATACTGATTCCCTACAATGGTTGCATTATGTCCCTAGGAGTCATGATTTGACCATAGTTGTATCTACACTACCTGAAGATACTGTACGTGTACAAAAATTGGCTCATTCAAAATTAAGCATAATCACTTGGTACAGAGTTATTGGCTCATTCATGAATTAGCACTATACACTTCTGTGCTGTATATTGTATTTACATGTGATTTCTTAGCGGTATTCATAAATTAGTGCATTGTTGTGCGCTCTAAAGCTGCTAAAGTACAAAGCCAGCTATTTTAAGTACACATACAGTACTTATATATATAAATAAAAATTCAAGCTCTGATTGTTGGGACTTCAATTTTCATCACCAGTGATTTTTTGTTAAACTGTATTCTTCTGTCTATAGAAATAAGATTAAGGTCTGCATTTTAAACCTTTATAACAAGAGCCCCCCCCCCCCACTCAACTCAGCACTGTGGCGAGGAAAAAACAAAAATCATGTATTTAATGGGCCCAACCTACCCTTAAAAGGCAGTGAGAGAGGGATAATTTGAACAAAACTGAATCTACACTACCTAAGGATGCTTAGACTGTGACTTTTTTTTACTACAAGTTTGAATTTTCATTGAATCTACACCACCTGAGGATGCTTCCAAATAAATATGAATCATTGCTTTGCTGTTCTCTAGAAAAAGATTTTTGAAGATTTTCCCTATATACTTCTATGTTAAACTTTGATTATCAATTGTGACCCCACAACATTATTTGTAAATTTTAAATAGCGATCTGTCAAGTTTTAAGTGCACAAGAAAATACTGTCTAGACAGCTCATCAACTTTATAAAAATTAATCTAAGGGGTACAGTAATGATTTCATGCAGCTCAACTGTTTAGACAATATTAATAAAATATGGTATATATAAAAAAAAATGTTACATGATGACATTTAAAGGGATAATGTCCCTGTTTTCAATGTCAGCCCAGTAACCAATGAGATGCTGTCAAAGAAGAAATACAAAAAAACCCAACTTATACAATCATGCTGATTAAGAAAATGTCAGTCTTGTCTGCAACCCTTCATTTAGTTTTTCCAACAAAGATTTTTATAAATTTTTCAATTTTTTAAACTAATAACAGAGAAGAGAAATAAAGGGCAAAAAAAAAAAAGAAAGAAAAATCCCAAAGTAGTAAAGACTGGCCTCTATTCATAGAATAGAGACAGAAATATGAAATGGCCTTAGTGAAGATTTTTTTATGTAAATACTTACCATACAACAGGGAAGAGAATCGCTCCACAGCAGAGCAGATCTACCAGAATAAAGATCTCCTGCCATATAGCGTATTCCGACTGGCCCTCCTCACTCTCCTCAATAATAATATACGCAATGTTGTCCAGAATCTAGAACAAAAATGTCTCAGATTGACTTGTTAGTGGTTAGGACATAAATGTTAATGATAAAGAAACAAATCACGTAAGATAGCTGAAGTATACATCAACTTTAGAACATCGGCCCAAGCTTTCAATCTTAGGGGGTTAGGGATAGTAGAATTTACTATTCTTATTTTTCCTTTTAATACCTTAAGACACTTTAAAATGGCTTAATTAATGTGAAACACATTTTCAGATAGGAAACTTAAAATGTTGATTAAAAAAAATATGACTTAAAGTTACCGTATAAGTAGTTTTTTTTTAGTGAGGATATAAATTTTGGCATTATTAACGAGGGTGCTGACATCGCTAAAATTGAATATCGCTAAAAATTAATTGCATATTATTTGTAATAGCTTCTTTAGTTAGCATTTTAAAATCGCTAAAATTACTTCTCGCTAAAAAATAAAATACCAGATTTTAGGTAGAAATCGCTAAATTTGCGTCTCGCTAAAATTTCCACTTATACGGTATTGCACTACTAATACATAAGATCTTGCACATTGTAAAATTGCTAGCAGAAAAGCTCATTTCAAATTTAATTGTCTCAGGTAATTTAAAACTGAATTCACCCTACCTGTAGAGGGATAACAATCAGAAAAAGTTTCTTTTCTTTGTCTGAAAAGACGTGTTTTACAAAAGTCCATCCTGTTCCAATCAGTAAAATTGTCACAAACAATAAAGCTCCTCGAGATCTGCAGAATACAAACAAAACAATTAACAACCCAATTGTTGATGTGGATAATAACAAATTGTTATTCACCCACATCAGTTACAGAATCAGTGTGTGTGTGTGTGTGGGGGGGTCTTTCACCCACAGAAGTTACAGAATAGCTAAATGTAACTACAATGAATTGCCAATTAGGATATAAAGGCAGGAGAATGCAGGGGTGATATCTGTTCAATATTTTCCCCGTGTACTTAGTTTAATTTACCCCGATATATAAATTATTTTCAGATTATCAGCAAGTTCAAAGTAAAAATGAAAACCAATTCTTGACATATTTAAGCAAAGAATTCATATTTTAGGATGTCTTCGGTCCTATAACACACCTGGCCGTGCCGACAAATTGAATACAGCGCGTTAGCCAGGTGTGTTATAGGACCGAAGACATCCCAAAATATGAATTCAATACTTATATTTATATTCTTTAATTTTTCCTCTTCATAATTGTTTATTTCGGTAATCTTTGATGTGAATTTAGCGCCCTTCAAAACTTGTGTGCTTTATAGATGTAAGAGCCGTTTGTGACGTCGTAAAGTTAAATAACACAAACGAACATTGCGAGGAAAGAAAGTGACAAATTAATTTTAAACGCACATTTGTTGTATTTTTATGTTTAATTCAACAGGGTTAATTTTTTAAAATTAAATTGTGTAAACAGTGTACATTTTGGTGTTCATAAAGTATTGAAAATGCATATAGTTCCTACTTTGTATTCTAACGCACGATGACAAGGTTTCCCTTGTGTTATAGAGATTTGAACATCATGGATTTCTAATGGATTTCATAAAGAAAATTACACTGAATGTAATTTAGTTTCTGGAGGTGATCTTTCCTTTTCACACTAAATATATTTCTCAGTTGTTTTTAAGAACGAATAATGGAAAATAAGTTGGTCTTACAGATATACAATGTAGTACAATACTGCCCAGGCTTCCTCATGCATGCCTTCTACTGCAATAAAGTGCATGTTGACCTACAAAAAGAGTGATTAGTACTACAATGCTCATATGATCAGCTACATGACTGTATATTTTATTTCAATCTGTTGAAATATATGTAGTACTACATTTAATCATTTATGTACTTACAGCATTAAAGAGATTTGAGAGTGCCTTCACCATCACCACCGCAAACATTAAATAATGCATTGTGTATACATCCTCCCTACAAGTAAACAACAGTGACTCAATTCTGCAGGAAAATATGAATACATTATGAAGTATTTATAATACTGTGCAGCACACAGCCTTTGCCCTAAAGATTCCTTGGACAGTAAAACTAACAAAGTTAACATGAAATATACTTGTTAAAATTAACCTGTAAATGTTGTTCTACATGTATTTGTAAGATCCTTACAAATTATTAAAGCAGTTAAATTATGTACATAGGTTCATTCCCAACTCACAACTATTACAGCTGCCACTTATCAAAGTTCCTGTCATTATTTTACCATTTCTTTTTTTTTTATTCATTAATACACTGAGCTTGAAATTTTACCATTGATTCCAATCATGCAAAACTTCATCTTTTTCTCAAAAACTCTACCATGGCCTAAAGTTAATGATTAATTGGTGGCCATCTACTGTTATGTTTATAAAACATAATGTTATAAAACACATTTTGATTGGCTAATACACTGATGTTTAAAGCAGTAAAACGAGCATATTAACGAGCGTGAAAGCTTTTCATTGTGACGTCATAATAGAGCGACGCAAAAACACAATGCTCCGTGACGTATTTCATATCACAAAACTCAATAAAATAAGATGTAAACAACAAACAGAAAGCATAGTTTGCATTAGAATGGGAATAACTATCTTGTAATTTGGAATGCTGATTTAACGGTCGCAAACGTCCGTATTACTGGCTCCACTTAAATGTGTTGCTGGTAAAACTCAGATTGCGACCGTTAAATCAGCATTAACGGTCGCAAATACCAAACTACAAGATAGTAATTCCCTAAATTTAAAGTTTTTAAGATAGATTAGAATCTCTTACTTAACGCGGCGGAGAATCACCATCCACACAATGCCAGCGATGAAGAACAGGACGGAGAGAGTAAAGAAGAGGGCGGGGATAGGAATCTCCCCCGCCGACAAGTAGTTCCCGTCATTAGTCTCCTCTATATCAATCTGAAAGGAAAACATAGGTAATCAGAGATTACAGAGCTCACCTCAACGAATGTTGTCTTTAAATAAGGCAAATTCACACAATTAACCAACAAAAAGTGTACATTCCAAAAATGAAAATATTTAAGCAATTTTGATCTGATACTTTGAAATAGACCTACATAAAAAATTTAAACTAGTTCTTCTTCATGAAAATGTAATCAAAATCCAGCATCTAAGCAAATTTGAGAATTTTCATCTCTTGATGAAAACTTTAACCTGTTCACTCAACCAGAAAATGTAGGTCAGATTCAGCATCCGAAGCAAGTCCGGTAGTGTGCATCCTTAGATGTATCATCCATGCAAGTTTGGTCAACATAGGGCTTATAGTTACTTGGAAATGAAACCTGCACTAAAAACTATAATCTGTTCACTCAACCGGAAAATGTAGGTCAGATTCAGCATTTGAAGCAAGCCCGGTAGTATGCATCCTTAGATGTATCATCCATGCAAGTTTGGTCAACATAGGGCTTATAGTTACTTGGAAATGAAACATGCACTAAAAACTTTAATCTGTTCACTCAACCGGAAAATGTAGGTCAGATTCAGCATTTGAAGCAAGCCCGGTAGTATGCATCCTTAGATGTATCATCCATGCAAGTTTGGTCAACATAGGGCTTATAGTTACTTGGAAATGAAACATGCACCAAATACTTTAACCTGTTCACTCAACCAGAAAATGTAGGTCAGATTCAGCATCCGAAGCAAGCCCGGTAGTATGCATCCTTAGATGTATCATACATGCAAGTTTGGTCAACATAGGGCTCATACTTACTTGGAATTGAAACCTGCACCAAAAACTTTAATCTGTTCACTCAACCGGAAAATGTAGGTCAGATTCAGCATTTGAAGCAAGCCCGGTAGTATGCATCCTTAGATGTATCATCCATGCAAGTTTGGTCAACATAGGGCTTATAGTTACTTAGAAATGAAACCTGCACCAAAAACTTTAACCTGTTCACTCAACCGGAAAATGTAGGTCAGATTCAGCATCCGAAGCAAGCCCGGTAGTATCCATCCTTAGATGTATCATCCATGCAAGTTTGGTCAACATAGGGCTAATAGTTACTTGGAAATGAAACATGCACCAATAACTTTAACCTGTTCACTCAACCGGAAAATGTAGGTCAGATTCAGCATCCAAAGCAAACCCGGTAGTATGCATCATTAGATGTATCATCCATGCAAGTTTGGTCAACATAGGGCTTATAGTTACTTGGAAATGAAACCTACACCAAAAACTTTAACCTGTTCAATCAACCGGAAAATGTAGGTCAGATTCAGCATCCGAAGCAAGCCCAGTAGTATCCATCCTTAGATGTATCATCCATGCAAGTTTGGTCAACATTGCGATTATAGTTACTTGGAAATGAAACCTACACCAAAAACTGCACCAAAAATGTTAACCTGCTCCAAAAACATTAACCTGGTCATTCCTTTGCTGAAATTGCAGCATCTGAAACTTTGACTGATACAATGAAACACATTAGAACCATCTTCCATGCACGTCTAATCAATATAGGACATAGAAGTACTTAAAAAGAAAACTGCTCCAAAAAACTTAACCTTAACCTGGGACGCCGACACCGACGCCGAGGGTATTACATAAGCTCCCCCAACTTCGTTGAGGTGAGCTAAAAATAGGCATTCCTGATAGTAGTGAACACTGAATTCATATAAACTACAGACTGATTTTTATTATACTACTGCCAATAGTTTTTCTTTCCTACATCATGTTGAGGACAATTAACCAAACGAAATGTTTAAGCTAAAGCAATTATAAAATCCTAAAAAGTTAATGGCTAGAAAACTTTGCACTTCACTAAACAGACAAATAATTAAGTCAATTATAAGATATTACAATGTTTTTCAGACAGATGGATCAAATTTTATCTGGTTCAGATTGATAAATTTTTATCTTTCTTTTTTAAACAATATGTATTCATTCTTCTATGGATGTACAAATATCTAAAAGGGAAGCAAAGATACTGGACTCCTGATTCACTACTTATTGGATATTACACTGCTCATACCTGCATTTCAAATGTTGCATGGACCCCTTTTTCATACTGAAAGCAATTGTGAAAGTAGAGATTGTACAGCCCTTCCTCTTGGTCATTGTCTACATTGATTCCAAACTGAAAGTAGAGAGATAACTATTAAATTGGTATTTTTGGATACCATACCACAGGACAAATTACTGTGTATATACTTATTCATGAACTGGAGTATGTGGCACAAAAGATGATGCTAAATTATGAACCCCAATTTCAGTAGGTACTGTAGATTCCTAATTATACGCGAGGAATTATACTGACACGCAAAAGAAACGCAACAAGCAGTAATGTACAATATTTGATTTTTTTATCCTATGATTTTCAAAAGCGAATAAAGTAAGGCTAAACTCACTTTTAAGAACATCAGAGATTTTATAAAAGTGTTAAATCTTTATCTTTTAACTTTACTAAGTAATGTATGACTGTTAAAACACCCCCCTCCCAGCCATTCAAGTAAAATTTGCAAGACTGCCCTAAACAACAATTGCAGCTTAATTTCTACGATACAAAAGGTTCATTAATATCGAGATCTGAGCGAAGAAATTATTCTTTGGCATTTTTAAATGCCAATTTTTCAGTTGATTAGGTCGAATTTTCTCTAACTTAGAGCAGTGTACCCACCCTTTGACTTCCGGTACAAGGACTGTCCTTAATGCATATGATACGAAAGACCCTGTTGAGACGTAATGTAGTGAAATTCCGCATCAGCAACTCTCCATCACCTTTACATTGAAATTTTCCATTTAAAGCACTGGAAATGTGTACATAAGCCATTTTGAAGTAGCCTCAGCATCGTTACGGGAAACGAAAGGAGAGTTTATTTTTTGAAATATTGCTGCATTGCTTATGATGAACAGTAAAAAAAACTTCAAACTCAATAATATTGCCAGATTTTTGTTAAACATGCAATTTTTGATTTCTGTTAAGCAGACTCAAACTTGACTTCCGGTTATGGTATGGAAATCGTTTAATCGTTAAATTACCGATGTTTACCAAATTGAAGATATTCATAATTTTAAGATACAAATTCTTTACTTTACATAATTATTTTCCCCTAAAGTAGGGTGTTGCGTTTCTTTTGCGTGTCAGTATAATTATCGTGTAATTTCGCAAGAAGCATCACTTGCAAACTAAAATTGCTCGCTTTTATTTTTATGGTTCTAAAATCCATGTAAATTCTCTTGATCAACCTTCCATTCGCGAATAATTATTCTCGCGATTTGACGTTAAAGAGCCATTTCATGATAATAACTACTCGTGAAAAATAAGGAATTTACAGTACATAATTATAGAATGTACTATACGTGAAATCAAATGAAACTCAGCTCTCTTGTAAAAAACAGGAAAAATCACTGTAATTTTATCAGGTGTATTATAAATAATATTTGCTCTGAAGTAGTATTCAGTACGTTGTATGGCAAGAAACTTGCAGTTATCTAACTTACAACTGCTCTTTTGAGGGGGAGTTAAGGAAGCTCTAAATCTCACAAGATTTATCAGGCATAACAGTGTTTACAGTAGTGAGTAGTGACAATCAAATGATTCAAACAATCAGTTTGCGAAAGTACAATATATTGCCAAGGGTTGATCTCCAAATAGTAGATTGTCAAATAAGGAAAGTTGATAGAGTATTTTACCAGCTTTCAATAGTAACGATTTTTGATGAAAATTTAATGAGAAAAGTGTGCTTTGTAAGATGTAATGAAAAAATGTAATAAATGAGGAATAGCTCCTCTGAAAGATTTATTAGGCTAGTTCAGTGAATGTTTAGCAAGACATTTCACCAGGATTTCTTTCTCATCTGTCATAAATTCCACAATAATCGATCTTGCATTGTATTCAACGGCACGTTGCCCTGATCTATCAGACATTTCCTACCTTCACCGCAAGAGAGTTCTGCTCTAAGTTAGGTAATTGAGATATCAAGTATTAGAATGAGATTATCTTCAAATAGAATTTGATTAAAAATATTAAAACTGTAAAGGTAGAGACTGAAATGTGAAATACAACTCTTTAAAATCAGTATGTTGACCAAAACTTACAGATACAGAGTGTCCGTTTTTAAGATTCCCTTGAATAGGTAATGGTTCTGGGTGTAGGGGGTCTGTCTTTCGTGTGGTTGTCTGAGGTGGTACTACACTGGGGGGAGGTTCCCTCACCCCTTCTCTTCGCTGGAGGCTCTTCTTCTGTGTAGATTTTGTCCCACTACCTGGTGCACTTGCTGGGGGTGGATCAGTGAATTTTGCAGGTGTTATTTTGCGCATCATTGAAGAGTCACTTAAACCTTTACCTGTGTTCCCTTTAGTTATAGATGATCTCCCTACAATAAAAAAAGTCAGCTACGGTACTACAAAGTCCCTATTAAAGAATACAATTGCATTTATCTGCTACTTTTTATGTAATAAAATAGTGAACACTGCATATACAGGTTCACAGTGGTAGTAAGAAGCATTTTTTATCTGGTGCATTCATAAAATGTTGCAAATCAATCAAAATACTCATCTAAAATTATTGAAAACTTGAAAAAAATTCTGAAGTAAGCATTGGGTTTTTGTAGTTTCTACACGCAGTTAGTTTACGAGAGTTCCCTCTAACATGTCTAACTTAGAATTCTTATACACTGAGCCTTAAATCTTTATTCCACTATCCTTTACCATTACTAAACATATTCTTTTTTGTGCTATTAGAAGAAATGTAAGTAATAACAAAAGATATACAAAAACTGGCCAAACTATAGGACACCTGCATTTTTAAGGTGAAAATCAGAAAAAAAAACCTTTCTATTGAACTTATAACCTTATTCTAAGCCTTACAGATTCACCACTAAGACATTAAAATTAAGAGCCTTAAGCTTTCAGCTAAAAAAGGATGATACGGCTTACCAGAAATTTTCATACGAGCCTTTGCTGAGATGTCCAGCATTCTAATATCTTTACCATACTTCTGGATTTCCATCCTGAAAAAAAGAGTACTACATGTATCTATGAACATTTATGAACCAATTCAGAAACCTGTTACTCAAATGAAATATATTTCTGGGGTATATTTAAAAATCTATATTAAGTTGGCAATTACTACAACTGAAACAATTATAATTCTATGAATGACATCTTTAAAATTTTGCAAAATAAGAGGCCCATGGGCCTTAAAGGTCATGTTAATATCAATGATTTTTCTGTCTATAACCACTGTAGGCCCAGAACCCAAGCTGCTTTAATGCTTTAAATGAAAATTTTTACTGTTAGAGTGAACACACTGAAGTGTGTTTATTGATCTTCTCGAATTTTGTGATGAGAGAAAATTATGAAATTTAAAAGCCATGTAAAAAAAAACAATTTTTTTCATAATAATACCGGTACCTGTACCAGTACATAAAATACTTATTCATACTCAAATTCATTACTTTAAAAACCAGAAGTCTCTGTCAAGACTGAAGCTCTACTGGTTTGTACTTATAGCAAAGGAAGAGAAAAGTACTTAAGCAGTTGGGAATTGAAACTTTACAACAGCAATAAAGAGAATAATGATCCTTGATTAAGTTTCTTTATGTTCTTAGTGTAGTCTACTTGCATGCCACGTTATATAATAATCAGACTAAAACTATTTGGAGTAGCATTTTGAGAGTATTTAACAGAAATTTCTATTTTTAGTAACCACGGCAACACCATTCATCGCAGTCAAAAACCGATATACAGAATTATGTATCTTAGTGTAGTCTACTTGTGTGCCAAGTTATATTGAAATCAAACCAATACTGTAGGAGGAGTGGCATTTTGAAAGAATTTCACAGAAATTTCTATTTTTAGTAACCACGGCAACACCGTTCATCGAAATCAAAAACCGATATACAGAATTATGTATCTTAGTGTAGTCTACTTGAGTGCCAAGTTGTATTGTAATCAGACCAAAACTGTAGGAGGAGTAGCATTTTGAAAGAATTTCAAAGAAATTTCTATTTTTAGTAACCACGGCAACATCAATCATCGAAATCAAAAACCGATGCACAGAATTATGTATCTTTAATTAGTGTAGTCTACTTGTGTGCCAAGTTATACTGAAATCAGACCAAAACTGTAGGAGGAGTAGCATTTTGAAAGTATTTCACAGAAATTTCTATTTTTAGTAACCACGGCAACACCATTCATCGAAATCAAAAACCGATATATAGAATTATGTATCTTAGTGTAGTCTACTTGTGTGCCAAGTTATATTGAAATCAGATCAAAACTGTAGGAGGAGTAGCATTTTGAAAAATTGTTTACAGACAGACAGACAGCTAGACGGACAGACGGACAGACAGACAGCTAGACAGACAGACGGCCGTATTACTATCGCATAAGCTCTTCTGGTCTCTGACCAGTAGAGCTAAAAATCACAATATAAACAACCATTTTAAAAGTTTTCCTGTACAATACATTAGAATGGAAACACAGTTATAGATTCCTTATAGAACATCTTCACTAACCAAGGTTTACAATCTCTTCTTCTCCTCTTTAGTGGAAGGGCACATATTTACTGAACAGATATCTAATACAAATCATAACCCTTGATTAGCAAAGATGAATGCTGAGCATATATCTAATACAGATCATAACCCTTGATTAGCAAAGATGAATGCTGAACAGATATCTAATACAGATCATAACAGAGCTCCAGATAATTTTTTACCCCAAAGTGTATTTACTCCCTGATTTTCAAATCAATGCAGATTTTGATTTTCAGCAAAATGATTGAGGAGTATTTTGTTTATTTGTATAAATGTTTTGACCTTTATTTTGATTTTGAGCTTGTAATCGAAATATAAGTGATTTTGAAGAGGGAAAAAACTACAAAGGTCAGTTCCTGCATTTATTTAAATAAATTTTGAAAATACCAACAAGACTTTTTGCTAAAATTGGGAAGCATTCTTTTTTGACAAGGAAGATGATACAGTAGGTCAAGGTACCATAGAGTCAGAGACACAGAAAACTTTTTCTCCATTTAAGATGATATCGTATCAAGAGTAAACTTAGAGAAAAGACTCTTCATTAATATGGCAAGTTGAGAGAAATGTAAAATTGGCAATGAACCCATAATAAAAAAGTTATGCCTAGTGCATAGTCTTTCTATTTACAGAAATTGATTTTAATCTAAATCTCTTGATTCTTCCTCCTGAAATAGAGATCGTCATCAGCATTACTAGAATATTCCTGGTCACTGAAAGGCTTTTAAATCTGTACTTTGTTTGGAGAAAAATCAAACAATGAGTTAACCTCAATTTATATCATTAAGTAAGTTGTACTTGTATTCTTCAACCTGTTGTACGCAGTGCTTTCATGGTGTAAGGCCATCCTTAAAAAATTGTTTTTTTGCGGTAACGCGACCGACTCACCAAAATCCACCCGACTTGATTTTTTTTATCGGTTCAAAAATATTCTTTTTTTTTTTTTTACATATCCATTTTCCGTTTTTATCCGATTGATATTTTTTTTTACGTCTCGGTTAAACCGACGCTTTATCTTTTCCCCAAGTACTATTAAAACGGCTTCTTGATCTACAAATTTAGAGATGGCGTCCAAGAAGGTTGCGGGAAATATTGACTCTATAGTTCTGTCAGTTACAGTAAATTTTAAAGGAAAAACATCTTAATTACTTACTTAATCAAAATCTTAAACCTCGTAAATATCACACCCCCGAAACACTAGATTAGTGTGGAGTCAGTTATTTGAGGTACGTGGCTGATGAGAGTCACTTTTTAAGGAAAAGTTTGCCTAAAAAGAACTGATCAGTGATGTGTTCTGATATTTGAGCAATAAAAGATTGAATTCATTTAGAATGCTTTAATTTTCCTGTTTGAGAAGTAAGGTGAAAATTGAGACATAGTTAATACCTCTATATCATCGAAATTTATTTCTGACATTTTGTCTCAAAAAAAAAAAAAAAAAAAGCCTACCTACCTACTCACACCTAAAATGATGAGGCGCGTTACCGCAAAAAATAAATTTTTTAAGGATGGCCTAATGCTTATCTACGATTGCTAATGTGTAATTGTACGCTCTATTTTAATTTTCAATGCGTATTTTGTAAAATTCAATGTGTAATTCTGCTAATACCCACCTTTTCTGGAGCTCTGTCATAACCCTTAATTAGCGAAGATGAATGCTGAACAGATATCTTATACAGGTCATAACCTTGATTAGTGAAGATGAATACTAAATAGAAATCTTGTACAGATTATAACCCTTCGTTAGTGAAGATGAATGCTGAACAGATATCTAATACAGATTATTACCCTTGATTAGCAAAGATGAATGCTGAACAAATATCTAATACAGACTATAACCCTTGATTAGTGAAGATGAATGCTGAACAGATATTTTGTACAGATTATAACCCTTGATTAGTGAAGATGAATGCTGAACAGATATCTAATACAGACGATAACCCTTGATTAGCAACGATGAAAGCTGAACAGATATTTTGTACAGATTACAACCCTTGATTAGTGAAGATGAATGCTGAACAGATATCTAGTACAGATCATAACCCTTGATTAGCGAAGATGAATGCTGAACAGATACCTATAAATATAAATCAATATTTCTTAAACAAGAGGTAAAAAAAAAATCTTTGAAAAACAGACAAACCTATTGAATGCTTTCAATACACTTATGGTCAACTGAATACATGTACTGTAAGTTCAATAAAGAAAACTGAGTGATTTGTGTACTGTACTTACTGTTTGTTGGAAAACTTCATCCTGAAGAAGATGATGGACATGGTTTTCTCTTTGAATATACTGGCTGGGTTGTTTAGGGAGAGGATACAGTTCTTCCCTTGATTGTCCTCCTATAAACAAACAAGTTAGCATCACCTTGTTATACAATGTCAACACAAGGACTTCTAAAAGTAGTAAAAAAATTTCAAAATCTATAACAAGAGGCCCAGGGGCCAAATCGCTCACCTGAGCAATTGGCTAGGAAAAAGCACACATGAGATCAGAACTGAAAGTTTACTGAAAGGGGGGGGGGGTGCTTGAATTTTAACCCCCCAGGGGGTCATGATTTGAACAAAGCTTGAATCCACACTACCTAAGGATGATAAGTGATTCCCTAAAAATATCACTAAGCATGGCTTTAAAGTACTAGAAAAGAAGATTTTAAAAGGTCTCCCTAGATATTCCTATGTAAAACTTTTATCGGCCATTTGGCCCCACCCTACCGCCGGGGGTCATGATTTGAACAAACTTGAATCTACACTACCTGGGGATGATTCCACGGGAGTTTCATCTTTCCTGTCTCAATGGTTCTTGAGAAGAAGATTTTTTCTATATATTCCTATGTAAAACTTTGATCGGCCATTGTGGCCCCATCCTAACCCCGGGGGTCATGATTTGTACAAACTTGAATCTACACTACCTGAGGATGATTCCACATGAGTTTCATCTTTCCTGGTCCAGTGGATCTTGAGAAGAAGATTTTTAAAGATTTTTCCTAAATATTCCTATGTAAAACTTTGATCGGCCATTTTGGCCTCACCCTAACCCCAGGGGTCATGATTTGAATAAACTTGAATCTACACTACATGAGGATGATTTCAAATGAGTTTCATCTTTGCTGGCCCAGTGATTCTTGAGAAGAAGATTTTTAAAGATTTTTCCTATATATTCCTATGTAAAACTTTGATCGGCCATTTTGGCCCCACCCTACCCCCTGGGGGTCATGATTTGAACAAACTTGAATCTACACTACCTGAGGATGATTCCATATGATCTTCATCTTTCCTGGCCCAGTGGTTCTTGAGAAGAAGATTTTTAAAGATTTTTCCTATATATTCCTATGTAAAACTTTGATCCGCCATTTTGGCCCCACCCTACCCCTGAGGGTCATGATTTGAACAAACTTGAATCTACACTACCTGAGGATGATTCCACAGGAGTTTCTTCTTTTCTGACCCAGTGGTTCTTGAGAAGAAGATTTTTAAAGATTTTTCCTATATATTCCTATGTAAAACTTTGAATCGGCCATTTTGGCCCCACCCTACCCCTGGTGGTCATGATTTGAACAAACTTGAATCTACACTACCTGAGGATGATTCCACATGAGTTTCATCTTTTCTGGCCCAGTGGTTCTTGAGAAGAAGATTTTTTAAAAATGCCATTATTTTTTCTCTAATTCATTATTTTTCTCCCCTTGGAAAAGGGCGTGGTCCTTCATTTGAACAAACTTGAATCCCCTTTACCCAAGGATACTTTGTAGCAAGTTTGGTTGAAATTGGCCCAGTGGTTCTTGAGAAGAAGATGAAAATGTGAAAAGTTTACGACAACGACGCCAACGACGACGACAGACAACGGACAAATTTTGATCAGAAAAGCTCACTTGAGCCTTTGGATCAGGTGAGCTAAAAAGGACTAAGAGAATGCAAAGATTGGTAAAACAGTCTTTATTCAAGAACTTTGCAAGAGCATGAAGAATAAATGTCTTTGAACAGTGAAATCATTTTAAATTTATCATTTAATAGGAATTGTATGAACATAGTGTCATCTTCAAGTGCTTTATGAGTTTTGAGACATTAGAATCAAATATACAGCAAAATTCGGTTAGTATGAACATGGATATTGCGAATTTATGGATATAGTTAAGTCATCTTGGATCCCCAACTATATAAATTTTATGAATTTCTTATACGGTCATAACGAATTACGGATATAGCAAAGTAATTTCATAGGTCCCAGTGACTTCATTATAACCGAGTTTTGCTGTATTTAATTTCATTGACTCCTTTTTCTAAATACTTGCATTATACCAGTATTTTTTTTGAAAAAGAACCAACACATGAAAACTTTGCCATGTTCCAATGGTTGTCTTCAAATGAATTTTATACTTGTTCCAAGATTTTTTGTTTTCACTTACAACTTTTTTTACTAACATCATGATCATATTAATTTCTCCTTTTGGCCATCACAAAATTAAACTAACACACAAAAATAAATTCATTACACATTACCATTTTAACTCTTTACCTCTGCATGATATAGCATGACTATGATGCATATGGGGCCAAATATTTCAACCACCATTAACAGGGTTGACAATAACATTTTTAGGCTCTAGTCCACGCAGCACTGTTAAGGCTAGAAAAAGGGGGCGGGGCCTAATTTATACGGGAAAAGTTTACTGTATGTCACAGAAAAATATGACTTTTAGATATTCCTCATAATACCAGAAAATGAAATAAATTGCAACTTTAAACTATATTAGCATAATAAACAACAATAAAACTTGTCAATGCATTAAAAACAGTTGCTAGTTAAAAAATAAATCCCATCAGGCCTTATGTGCTCAAAGCACAAAGAGGAGTCAGGACTAAGAAAGTAAGTTAAATCCCATACAGCTGGTTATAAACAAATCACTGATCGCGAAGAACTTGTCAACATGACGTCATTTTGGTAACAATGACGCAATTCATGTGCTGTGAGAGGCAGATTGAGGAATTATTTAACAATGAAAAATGCGTTTTATTAAACAGAATATTATTTACAGGTTTTAAGGAGGCTGGGGGGTCAACAAATTAACCACAAATTAACCATCAGATTTAACTTATTTTTATAGATACGGTATCTTAAGCTGTCAACAATCATTTGGCAAAGAAAAAAATCATAAATTTTAGTTTTAAAATTTGATCATTTTTGTATATTTTTATATGGAGCTCTTCTTTTAAAGGAGATCGAAATAGTCTGAAAATGGCTGCCACCCCCCAGCCTCATTAAATAGGCTATTAATACCAGTGTATATCCTTTGTTTTGTGTGATTATTCATCAACTATCGAGAGAATGTATTTAATTAATTTTTTCGTGTTTTTATGTACAGGTTAGGTATATTTTACATCGAGATGCCTCAACCATTAAATCTTTCTTTCGCAAGAGCATACACTAAATAGATCTTAACAATTTTTTGAAAATAGATAAAGAATATTTTCCTTAACCTAAAAACTGCTGCTGCTTTCTTTAAATCGAGAGCGTGACTTTACAAGTACACAAAATATTTGGTGAAAGTCAAACATATTTCAATATTAGCATATTTACTTGAAATTTTAACTATTAAAACGCGAATTATATTCAAAGCAGCAGCACTTTCCAGAAAGTACAAAATATGCAGAAACAATTAATAGATTGAATTTTTTATTTCAACTAAGGTATGCCCTTGCGATATTGAAATTTGTTAATGACCAACATTCAGTGTACGTACTATGCATTCATCACATGACTGTCCATCGATGGGACCAAACTTCATACAGTACAGAGTGGGTTATACTATGCTATTTCCATAAGTATTTAAGAACTGTGATCATGAAACAGCTTAATAAAAATAAATTCGTTTTTAAAAAAAGTTCTCATTCTAGCACGTCTATTTTCCATTGATTTCTCATAGTAGGCCTTAACAGTGCTGCGCAGTCGGACTAGTGCTTTTTACTTTTACTAGTCCGCACACAATATTATGAGTCTGTCAAAATAAATAAATAAATAAACTAGTGCTAATTGTAACGGGGACCGTTACAGATGTTCCCCAAACGCTCCCCAACTCCCTTTTGGTGCCAATTTCCCAGTAAGCTTCATTTAATAAGACAAACGCTATGCATTTGAGAATTTAACAACGTTTACCTAGAAGTGTAGCAAGTTCATTCAAATTTTAGCTTGCACGCGTGCACATGTAAATGCATGTACATAGTGACCATATCATCTTGTCTACACTCTATATAATTTAATATACCAATTATTTAAATATTTAATCCAAAAGTATTAAAAAATACGCTCATTCAAGAGGCGTTTTTAGTCATTTCACGTGCACGCACGTGCATACATGAACATGGTGACAATACCTTCTTGCAGAAGTCCATTACATATATCTATGTTCTAAATCCCAACCCGTTTGGTTGAAAACCAAGAAAGTTAAAGCTGTTTAAATTTAAGCCAATCGGATTGCAGCACACGTACACTCACGTGTATGCATGTGCATGGAGACCATGCCTTCTAGTTAAAGTCTATTATATCTATCTATGATCCAAATCCCATCCTGTTTGGTGGATAACCAAGGGAGTTATAGCTATTTAAAGTTTGAGCCAATCAGATTGCAGCGCACGTGCATGCACGTGCTTTCATAAAAATTGCTATATATCATATTGTAGAATATCCTAATACATGGCAAAGTTCAAAATTTCAAAGGATTTTGTCAAAAAACAAGAAAGATATTGAGACTTTAGTTTCAGCCAATCAGAGTGAAGCGCACGTGCATGTGCGTGAGATCTTGCTATTTTGACCATGTCATATTGTCTATGTTACTAATATATCATAATATTATGAGTTTCAAAGCATTTCATCAAAAATATAAAAAGTTGCGCTTATATCCATTATATAGATCATTTCTCGTGTTGCACGTGCGCGCTCTTGCAAGCACGTGCGCGCAAAATGACCTTCGTTCCGCAAATCTACATAACATGTCTACTGACCCTAAAAACATTTCACCTTAGTCGGATGTATAGTTAACGAGATCATTCGCGGACAAAAAAGTGCCCAGGAAGAAGAAAAATAATAATAACTAGATACGATCTCGTTGCGAGCAACGAGAGGTCTTCCGTCCGATTCCGTTAAAAAAAAACCGTGAAGTCGAGATGAAAATGTAAAAAAAATCATTGCACTCAAGGGGGATTGAATCCAAGTCGCCAGCATGAAAATCGAACGTGCTAAATATTACACTGTTGGGACCTCTGCTCTAAATATTTTTGTATATACCTCTGTATAACAGTGCTTTTGTTTTAGAATTATAAAAGGCTAGTCACTATTCATAATTTCTCGCAAACGCCACGAGTTAATCTTGGCGCCTTTTCTTTGAAATGTTCTATTTAATACGTGTGATAGCTTCAATGAAATAAAAAACCGTTCATGTAGCCTAAAATTCGACGATTAGAAAGTATATTTAACACATTTTACAAATTCCATATAGTATGTAAGCAAGTAACACTTTTTTTTACTTTGAGAACCAGCCAAAACCAATTATAGAAGACGTTTAAAAAGAACGTAGTTTGACACAGAATTGCAACGTAACTATGACGTGAAAATCCAAGTATTCCTTTACATTTCATTTGTCCCTATGTAACTTTCGTTCAAGCAAACGTTCGGCTGCCTCCGTAAATCCCTATTGCGAAATGTCGGAGTTGACAGAGACGGCCGCCATTTTGGACTCGCTTCAGATTTTTAATTGTTAATATCTAGAGTTTGGATTTATCAATATTCAAATAAATCATAAAGTAAGCAATATAAGAAGGGTCTCTATTACCATTCCAAAAATAAATGAAAAATATTGAAAAACAAAAAAGTTAGAAAATGCGGACTTTTTAATTTCGCTTCCGGCAGCAACCGAAAGTACCGACGACACACGAATAGGTGATTCGTCATATCTAAAAGTCATCATCTTTCATTTCTAACAAGTCTCCAGTTAATATCTTAAACCATTTTCGAAAAAAAGGGGGGACAAAATTGCATTTTAAAATCAGAAAAGTGTCAATAACTTGGAACCAAAAGTGAGTATTCCAAATTTTCCTATCCATGCCACAACTTCATATAATGACGCATAATTCCTGAAAGTTTCATTGAAAACCACTGAATAGTTTTCGAGAAATCGCGTGCACAAAATTTTGGGGAAAAAAATAAGAATAATAATAATAATAATAATAATAATAATAAGAAACAGTAGAATCACTAGAAGGTCTTCCGTGAAAACGGAAGACCTTAACTAGAGCAAAGCTCGTTGCAAAGCAACGAGTAGGTCTTCCGTCCGGTTTTGACCGGAAGTGCCGGAAATGACATCAACAAAAGAAAGCAATGAGCTAAGTCGTCTCCAGTGACTTTATACTTTTAATTTTGCATCAAAACCCTCAAAATCAGCTATTTTTGGCTACTTCCGGTTTGAAAGGAAGTGAGGACGACGGTCGGAAAATTAATTTTTATGCTTGCAGAGACGTATGTTATCCAAAAACTTGTCAAGAACGGCAAAAATACGCGTTTTCCGACTACTTCCGGTTTGGCATCAAGTGACGGCGTCGTCCGGAAGTGACGACGCCGGACGTAATTTGATGACTTCAATAGATTGAGCTTGACATTTTGAACAACTTTGCTTCTTTGACGTATTACGAATTCTCAAAACTTTTTGAGATATAAAGGAAAAACTTTCGGCCCCTCTAGTCCCTTAATTTTAGGGGCCAGCCCTTTTTTTGAGATATCATTTGAAAGATCTTGCAATTCTGCACTTCTTTTGTTTTATATGTTTTAACAAAATATTTCTAGGTAAAAAGATATCGTAGAAAAGGTGGTTAAAAAATTGAAATTCGCGATAGGACTATTTTCGCGCCATAGCGAGCGCCGACGTGCGGCACTTCAGATAGAAATGAAATAAATTTTACATATCTATAGACTTCGGACTATCATACCTGAAATTTTCAGGTTTCTATCTATAGCCATTTTTTAGAACGTTCGAGGACAACCTGACCCTTCAAAAATCATAAAATCGGCAATATCTCCAAACCGGAAGTGACGTCATCAAATCGAAAAAAAATGCATAAGGTTCAAGTAATGTTACATAAGTCCTGAAAGTTTCATGGAAATCCATCGAGCCGTTTCCGAGAAATCGCGTGCACAAAATCGGTAAGAAAAAAAAGAATAATAATAATAACTAGAGCCGAGCTCGTTGCAAAGCAACGAGTAGGTCTTCCGTCCGGTTTTGACCGGAAGTGCCGGAAGTGACGGAACAAAAGAAAGCAATGAGATAAGTAGTCTCCAGTGACTTTATAATTTCAATTTTGCATCAAAACCTTACAAATAAGCCATTTTCGCTACTTCCGGTTTGACCGGAAGTGACGACGACAGACGGAAAAAATACTTTTTATGCTCCCTGAGACATATGTGACCCAAAAACCTGTCGAGAACGGCTAAAAAACGTGTTTTATGACTACTTCCGGTTTGGCCGGAAGTGACGACGCCGGACGTATTTTGACTCCCTCAGTACATTGAGCTTGACATTATGAACAACTTTGCTTCTTTGATGTATTACAAATTCTCAATGCTTTTTGAGATATAAAGGAAAAACGTTCGGACCCTGTAGGCCCTTAATTTTAGGAGCCAGCCCTTTTTTCGAGATATCATTTGAAAGATCTTGGGATTCTACACTTCTTTTGTTCTATATGTTTTAACAAAATATTTCCAGGTAAAAAGATATCGTAGAAAAGGTGTCAAAAATTTTGAAATTCGCAAAAGGACAGTTTTCGGGCCATAGCCAGCGCCGACGTGCGGCACTTCCGAAAATAATGAAATCATTTTCCCAAATCTATAGACTTAGGACTACCATACCGGAAAATTTCACGTTTCTATCTATAGCCATTTCTGAGAACGTTCGCGGACAACCTGACCCTTCAAAAATCACAAAATCGACAATATCTCCAAACCGGAAGTGACGTCATCAAATCGAAAAAAAATGCATAAGGTTCAAGTAATGTAACATAAGTCCTGAAAGTTTCATGGAAATCCATCGAGCCGTCTTTGAGAAATTGCGTGCACAAAATCGGTAAGAAAAAAAAGAATAATAAAAGTGAAAAAGAAACCTAAGAATAACAATAAGGTCTTCCGCTGAAGACGGAAGACCTTAATAATAAAAGTGAAAAAGAAACCTAAGAATAACAAGAAGGTCTTCCGCTGAAGACGGAAGACCTTAATAAGAAACAGAGTAAAAACAATATGTTCCCAAACTTCGTTTGGGGAACATAATAAGAAGCATAAACATTGCAATGTACCCTTTTACTTTTTTAAAATAAACAAAGCATTTATTTAAAATGTTTACTTTAAAATTTGTTAAAATCTCATGATCAGGAACTATGATCGTATTCCCGATCCACGTTTTTCTCTTTACATGATTACATCATCCAAACGTCCGACTTCTCATACTATATCATGATCGTTAAAATGTTTAATTTCATACCAATGAGTCCTAAAATTAAGTGCCGAATTGACTCAGAATTTAGAAGGTCGTTAAGTTATCTGTTATCAATGTAAAATGAAATAATCTGCATCAAGAAAAGACATAACATTTTTATTGTCAATTTATTATGTCAAGTGAACAATAAACAAAATACCTTCACTTATTTTGCCTTGAAATGGTTACTGTGGAGTGTGGAATCATCATTGTTCAAGTGGTGGATCAGAGTTTGTGGATTTCGTGGGTCAATCTTACCCACAAAATTACACCCCCACAAACAATTATTTTGTCAATATATTTATTCATTGAATTGTCTGAATATATGAGTTATCCACCAAATTAAGTCTCCATGAACAAACAAAATTTTGCTTACCCAAAAACATTGACCCACATGAATTAAAATGATTCCACAGTATTCAATCTCTTGACTTTAAATTAACACTCTCATAATAGACACCACTATAAACATATGTACCTTAACATGGTGCAAATTATTTTGTACATGTGTCTAAGAAAAGAAACTAAAGATTCTTACCAAATAGGAAGCAATTCCACTGCTATCACTTTTATCAAGAGTAAATCCAAACTAAAATAAGAAGAAGATGAGATAAGACATTTAAAACAAGAGGCCCAGGGGCCACATCACTCACCTGAGCAATTGGCTAGGGAAAAAAGCACATATCAGATCAGAACTGAAAGTTTACTGGGGGGGGGGGGGGGGGGGAGGGGGCCATGATTTGAACAAACTATAATCAACACTACCTGAGGATGATTCCCTATAAATATCACTAAGCATGGCTTTGAAGTACTTGAAAAGAAGATTTTAAAAGGTTTCCCTACATATTCCTATGTAAAACTTTTATCCGCCATCAGGCCCCACCCTACCCCCGGAGGTCATGATTTGAAAAAACTTGAATCTACACTACCTGAGGATGATTCCACAGGAGTTTCATCTTTCATGTCTCAATGGTTCTTGAGAAGAAGATTTTTCCTATAAATTCCTATGTAAAACTTTGATCGGCCATTGTGGCCCCACCCTAACCCCCAGGGGTCATGATTTGAACAAATTTGAATCTACACTACCTGAGGATGATTCCTCATGAGTTTCATCTTTCCTGGCCCAGTGGTTCTTGAGAAGAAGATTTTTAAAGATTTTTCCTATATATTCCTATGTAAAATTTTGATTGGCCATTTTGGCCCCACCCTACCCCTGGGGGTCATGATTTGAACAAACTTGAATCTACACTACCTGAGGATGCTTTCACATGAGTTTCATCTTTCCTGGTCCAGTGGTTCCTGAGAAGAAGATTTTTAAAGATTTTCCCTATACACTCCTATGTAAAACTTTGATCAGCCATTGTGGCCCCACCCTACCCCTGGGGGTCATGATTTGAACAAACTTGAATTTACACTACATGAGGATGATTCCACATGAGTTTCGTCTTTCCTGGCCCAGTGGTTCCTGAGAAGATTTTTGAAAAATGCCATTAATTTTTCATTAATTCATAATTATCTCCCCTTGGAAAAGGGCTTGGCCCTTCATTTGAACAAACTTGAATCCCCTTCACCTAAGGATACTTTGTGCCAAGTTTGGTTGAAAGTCGCCCAGTGGTTCTTGAGAAGAAGATGAAAATATGAAAAGTTTACGCCGACGCTGACGACAACCCCGCCGCCGATGACAACAGACGACGGACAAATTTTGATCAGAAAAGCTCACTTGAGCCTTAGGCATACATATGGAAATTATGTATGAATTTGAATCTCATGTAATGAGATCTGAATTAAATAGGTTGAAAATCAATTAAGGTTAATAAAATTTTCATGGAAAATGTAAAAATGTATCTTACCATTGAATCCACCATCTTCCCACTATCTGTCATATTTACTCCATTTACATTATATCTAAACTGGGTGATGTTAACTTGTAGAGCTCCACTCTTTAAAAACCCAAACGTACTCAGTCTTACAACTCCTCTATCATCATTCTGGAAAAAAAATAACATTAGATATACAGACAGGTAGAACACTTGGATAGAATTTTAAATACATTTTATTCCATTTTACATTTTTTCTGATGGGTTGAAAATAATTACACATATATTATCTACACTTAAAATTTACTGGAATTCAAGCCACTACATTGCAAAACATTCAAAATTTCATTACTGCTCCTGTTCTTCTTAATTCTGGATGCTCATTATCACTAAACTTTATAAATAAGATATTTGGTGATTACAATGCATTACCATTAGATGCACAAACTGCCTGTGATTAAAGCAATAATACAAAATTGGAGAACTGTCTCACGTTCTAGACATCAGTACATCAAAGAAATGGCATTTAAAAAGCTTCCAATTCTTTGAATACTGAGTGTTTGATATATGAACAATAATTGATTTTACAATGTAAAATAAAAAGGAGAAAAAATAATACAAAAAGTGTTTCTGAAAAAAAGACAAGGCATTCCTACTGTCATCTCCCTGTGGTAAGCAGTGGAAACAGGTACCAAGCATGTATATATCTGTACAGGCACGAGGTGCTGGCAAACAAAAGTGGTATTGTAGCGCCTATAGCGGTAATGTATTTTAGTATGAAGAAATATTTCATAAAGGAATTTAATTTTTGAAAATTTAAAAGCGTAAGAGCTTCATGATAAATATGCCAGTGTGAAGCTTTGTACTTCATGAACCTCATGAATCTTCAAAAAAATTAATAAATTTTTTATACTGTAAACAAACTCTAATTCGCGAAGACTTTATTTGGCAATTTACCAGAGGTAAACTAGTTTGTGATGATTCATTTTCACAATCAAGCCTTTTTTGGGATCTGTTGTTAATAGACACAGAGACTTTAAGAACCGATTCGCGGCAAGAAATCTTTGCAATGACGAGGTTCTCTCAAACCTTGTAAAAATTTCTCCTACACAGATAAAAGATGGTTTCCAGTATTTACATTATTTTTCTGATGAGTTGCCACAAATTTACACCATTCAACTGGCATTTTTAAAGAAAAACAGTTTGCACTATATTTTCACATCAAGTGCAGTATGTATTATGATGTAACAATGGAGATATTCATGATCATCCATGGTAGTTCATGAGAAAATGAACAGTCTTCCTATTTGCAAAGAATAAGGAAAATTATTTGAACATGTAAATAATAATCAATGTACACAACTTTCTAGTGGTTATGAGTATGTAACGATGATGACCTTTTTTGAAGATATACAGTAAAACTCGTTTAGTACGAACATGGATATAGCGAATTCACGGATATAGCGAAGTTTTTCTGGGTCCCCAACTAAATTCTTAACAAATCTTTGTAAAATTTTACAGTTATAACGAACTCTGATATAACGAATTTACGGATAGAGCGAACTGATTTTGAGTCCCGCTGAGGTAAAATTTCATGAAATTTACATCTTTTATAACGAACTTTCAAGGATCTCAAAATTTAATAAATTGAACTGACTTTATTTTATTTTAGAATGTAAATAAAAATTCAATTTGAAATAAAACCTTGGTTATCAAAGTTTTTTTTCCTAATTTTTACTTTCCTTACATATTTGGTATTAATACTTGAAGGAAAACATGCATATAGCGAATTCGCTATATCTGGTTATGCGAATTCGTTATACGGATATAACGAATTACGGATATAGCGAATTAAATTCACAGGTCCCAAGGACTTCGCTATAACCGAGTTTTACTGTAGTGATAATGTAATATGCCCAAGATTACCATATTACTTATTATTATGCTTCCTGTCAGTTTGTCTCTATATAACCCATACCCTACTATTCTCGCATAGTGGTCTAAGGATTTATATAGCGTAAGCATACTATGCCGAAATAGTGCACGGCCTTATTTTCTGAATAAAATTCTTCAATGCACACACCGCGAATCGAACTCATGACCATGGGGTTGCCAGTCCGATGCCTTATCGATTACACCACAGAGACGATCACTAATTGGGAGAATTTAATTAAATATATAAACTTAATTTATACAATTGACACAAGAAGGAGAAAATAGACAAATATTATTTGAAAACAGTTATATTTATTCTAAGGAATCTTAGATAAATGTGTACAACAAAGTTACAAACTAATTACATACAGATCGTAAGATGAATTGATATCATGGGGTCATTAAAACGCTTTTTTATATAGCGCTCGATTGAAGGATGTAAAAGAATTATCAATGAGAATCCACATCTGTAAACAATCAGTCTTACTAACAAAACAGAAAATAAAGATGAGTATCTTTGGGACAGAAAATCCTGACTTATGTAGAGAAAATACTAGTAACCAAAATAACTAAGCATGCAACTAATTTTAGCATGAAGATTTTGAATGAGTTTTTGCAAGTGCGCTGTGTTACCACCATTATTTTCAGGAAAAAATCATATGGATTGCCGCATAAATAATAACAACAGTCAGCATAATAATAACAATAGTGTTGCATTATGCATGTACTATGCCTAAATAGTAGGCAGGGTTTGACACATAGTGCACTCGCCTCCGGCTCGTGCACCATGTGTCAAACCCTGCCTACTATTTAGGCATAGTACATGCATAATGCAACACTATTATATAAATAGACTGAAACGAATACCATAAATCAATATTCAAATATTCGTGACTGTTATTCAATTTGTATTCGAACATTTGGTAACTAAATAAAGGAGTTATTATGCCTTTTCATATACTTGCAAATCCTATTGTTTATTACTATATATCTAGATGTATTTAAGATAGGTGTCCATGTAAGAAATAAACGTCTGTTCCAAGTCGTTTGACATGTACTTATGTACATTAAGACCCACGTTTATTTTCAACAAAAAACTAAATTAGAAAAAGAATCTTTATAAAAAATCACACTAAAGCCTTTTAACTTCTTAAAATTAGTTCACTGTATTGCATTCCCACTACGTAAAACGTATAGTCACCAAACCAGCAGGTGCTCGCCAAGTTTTTCTGTTGTACTTATAAAAAAGAAAACGGTCCGTTTCCGGAAACATGCTGTAAATTTATTAAAAGTAAACTATATTTGAATTTAAAATATAAGGGTTACTGTCGTATCGCCCCAAAACCTGAACGCCCCATGCATGAGCGCCCCAAACATTTTTACCGGCGCCCAAGTACAAATATGAGCGCCCCAAATATTAATAACGAGCGCCCCAAACGTATTTCACGAACGCCCCAAATTAGCATTGCGAGCGCCCAAAATAATTTGGTCACAGATACACATGCAGGTGCTCGTCTAAATATCAATTTGTTTACTTTTCCTTCTTCAAAGAAATCTGGTGAAATATTCTTATAGATTATCAAGTTTTATTCGTGTCATTAAAGATAATAGTACAGTCATTTGTAATAAAGTCAGAGCACGACCGTAATCCCAAATAAAAGGAGAACACCCCCCCCCCCATATTTTATCAAATACCGGCTATATGAAGTGATTTGAATTCATTTGGCGATAAAGCATGATAATATTGGGGGGAAATAAAACATTTTAAATAAAGTCTTACAAATTGTGATAGTTGCTTGACCAAATCTGCGTCATGAAGTCTTTGACGTACAGTATTTTTTTCCTTTGTGGAAATGCAGATAAGTGCTTAAAATGCGTTTATGTATTTATTTTTGTTATTAATTTCTAGATGTATTCATTTTAATTTACACGCATGATCTGTCTGTGCATGTTCGATATATAATTCACATGGAAAGGTGGTATAAGTCGTCGAAGGACCAGAATTACAGTGTATGTTTGTTGAATTGGGTGTCTGAAATTATGTTTACTGTGTATACACAGACTACAAATCCCACTGATCTAGTGACAGGTGTGTAATATTATGTAGCATTACATAATCAGGTACACAAGAAGCAACGAAAACGCACGGCACGTGCACTATACTAACGATATACTGCGATTTTGAACCTAATCTACATCATTAAAATTAGTAAAAAAAATTGATAGATGACTTTGGGTAGGTTAAATGATGTATAATTTTTTGTATTCTTATAATTTTTGTTGTATATTTATTACTGACAGATTCTAAATAAATTTCGTAACTCTTACAAAAAAAAAAATTGCAACCTACGTAGACGATTTAAAAAAGAAGTTGGTACTTGGTATCTTGAATAGATTAATTTACCGATTTACAGGAGATATAAGGTATAAGAATGAATATGACAGCTAGTCTAAAAACTTTTCTGGTTAATTATTATTACATAGTTACTGCAGAAATACACATCGGTGTTTAAGTTTATTCTATTCGTACACTGTATTTCCTCTTTGTAAGATCCTTATTAGCACTGAATAAATCAAAAAATTTAAAAAATCAAAATAAATTACGGTTCGGGAATGCACGTATAAATATGAATTCCATTTGTTTAGTACGTTTACATTTATTTTCATATAATGCTTGTTTACAATTCTTGGGGCGTTCGTTACTATACTGTATACATCGTAAAACTTGAAGCACTCGTGATAAACAACTGATAAATATCATTCGGGATGCTCGTGAATAATAATATATCTTTTTAATCTAATAAATTGTAATAAAACACGCATCAAAGACAACAGTTTGGTTCTTTACTAGTTAATTTAAGCCTTGGGGCGCCCAAAATGCTAATTTGGGGCGCTGGTGAATAGTGCTGGGTATCGCGGCTGAAAAATCGTATGGCAATATATTGCAATATAATATTTTGTATTGCAATATATCACAATATAATTTTTTAAATAAATTTTGCTTTTCATCAATTTTAAATGAAAACAAAAACTCAAATTACATGTATTCTCGAGTTGATATTGCAACTGCCTAATCGTGTTGTGTGTAAGCAAGTGGCAAGCAAGTTTTTTTTTGTGGCACAACTTAAAGAATCAAGTTGTAATATTCAGATTCTGCTTTAACATGAAGAGCTTTCATGTAACAGTTGTCCTCTTTTCGTTTCGACAGACATGTCTCTGGTTTCCGATCAAACTTCAAGTTGCTTGCCGCCATATTTTACCTTGAAAAGGGCAAATAACTCTTTTTGTAACAATTTATAGCATATCGAACCCGAACCGGTATTCACAAAAAAATACCGCGATACGTATTGTGAAGAAATCGGGATACACCGCTTAACCGGTATAATATATTATATGATTGAATAATTTCCATCTCTCTGATTGGCTGATCCAACTATGTTAGAAAAATACTACGTTGTATTGACCTGCACGTGACGTTCCAGGTCAATACAAGGATTTATTTCCTCTACATTGATCTAAAAATAGATTGGGAAATTCCAAATTGATACAAATTGTTTTGGAAAGCTATTTAAACGACTCTGATTTTTTTAATGTGAAAAAAAAAACAAAGGCGAATATATATTTTAGGGTGAAGATGTAAGAGGGGATGCAGGGACCCCCGTCCAACACTTTTACTGAACATGAACATGTTTTTTGTTGTTGTTTTTTTTACTTTTTGGCAGTCAGTTTTCCCTGATAATAAATACTCCTTCCTTTCAAAATCTATCCTATAAAAACATTGACATTATATTTTTTTCATGGAAACTAAAATTGATTTAAAAAAAAAATTCAAATTGATACGACTGGTAAGGTTTATTCACATTTTAAGTCTGTTTCTCTCTTGTACTTGGCTAGGACTTTATTAAGTGCAAGTTAACAAGTAATGAGCTGCATCATTTTGTCAGTGAATCATATAATAAAACAATTATTGCTCGGTGAATATTGTACTCCTCAGATGGCTAAATCATTGTACTGACCTCAAAAAGCAGCAATAATTGTATAATATCGCACAGCACTACTGGTGAAATACGTTTGGGGCGCTCGTGATTAAGATTTGGGGCGCTCATATTTGTACTTGGGCGAAGGTAAAAAATTTTGGGGCGTTCATGCATGGGGCGTTCAGGTTTTGGGGCGCAGTGACTAGCACCGAAATATATTAATATTCTTAAAGAAGTTTAATATAATGTATATTTTTCACAAATGATTTCAGAATCTGCTTTTATTTATAAAGCTGTACAATCGATACTGTTTGTTAATCTGGAATATTTTCTCTGCACAATATAAATCTTTCATTACTTTCGATCGAGAAAGTCATGGCGGTCATCGTCATAGGCCTAGATCAGAGATTCAGAGGCTGATATATGTTTGGCTTACAGATGATTAAATAAATTTGATCTTGTGCCTTTATCAGGCCAGTGGTACCATGTGGACAAAGTTTACAACCTGCCTTGTACATGTATTTGCTTTCGTTTGGAAAGAAATGCTTCTTTTTCCACTGTGATCAAAAGCTCAGTGGATACACAATTTATTGCAAGAAATACGGGTATAAAACATGTGACCGAATATTTAAATACAAATTCTCCATTCGAATATTCGTGAAAAACTATTCATTCGCGAATGTTCGTACATCCGTTTCAGCTCTATTACTTAATGAAGTAATTACCAGAAATAAAGTCAATCATCAAGACAGAAGTAATTAAACTCTGGATATTAATGAAATCATCTCATCCAATGTCATCTATGTAACAAGCAGTCAACGTACATGGAAGATTTCCCAACCTTTGTGTGGCACTGGTCTGAGAAAGATTTGGAAGAGACAATCCCAATCTCGCTGGGATTGTAATTTACAGTGCAACTCTGACTTTGTTTATATTATTCAAAATCGTGTCAGAGCGGCCCCACCCCCTTCTGCAACATGAAGATATATGGAACATATTCTAAGTGTAATTGGGTCTTGTCCCAAGACACAGTTACTGTGTAGTAGAAATAGAAAATACCATTAGATGGTTAGCGACAATGTTTACATATATGTAGGTGAACTCGTTTTATTTTTTCAGTTACCTTTAGGCTTAATTTGTGTATTCTTCCTGACGCCAGATAACAGATACACGAACATATTAACCAACTCGTCATCAGTTTCTTCTGACTTCGACTGATTCTTGCAACTCCAACTTCCATGTTGGCGATCACTCCGTCAGTCTTCTGTTTGGCAACACACGATTGGTTCTAAATGAACCAATGAACACCATTGTTTTATATTGACTTTTACGCGGGATTTATTTGATTTCGGTATATTTGGTTTGGTAACGCACGGACCTCTTATTTATGAAATTCAGTTCAGCCCGTTATATCAAAAGAAAGATAATGTACACTAAACAGACAAATTGTAGACGCATAACTGTAGGCCACTGATGTAGCATCGTTTTTGATAACTGAAGAACAGTAGCTCTCCGAAAAGAGTCTGTCAATATATATGATATTTTCGGAGAGCTACAGTTCTGCACCTACGTTTTTTAAAGTGGAGGGGTGGTGGAAAAGTTAACCAATCGGTGGAAAAACGATCAAATTAAGCTTACGTACATGTATACACTGGCGCATTTAGAGGGGGCCCAGCCCCCCCCTTTTATGTCCAAAAAATACACAAGATTTGATAAATCAATGTTTATTTGACCAGTGTGTCTGTGGACCCCTACCCTACCCTACCCAAACTGGTCGCCCCCCCCCCCTTTCAAGATTTCTGGATCTGCCACTGGTATACCTGCTTTTTTTTTCTTTTTAACCCTTTTTCAGCCCATTGTAGAAGATACAACCCCCTTCCATTTCCTAATACAGGTGAATAATAAACGATTCCTCTACCAGCTGTATAGTACAGAAAGACCGGCATACTTCTACGAGCAAGAGCCTCGGTTATATAATTAGACATCCTGAACTTTCAGTGATAGCACGGAACAAAAACATCATTTGTGTAACATATGTTATTTAAAAAGACACAATCTACACAAAATTCATTCTGATATCAAATAGATCAATTTTTTTTTTGGGGGGGGGGGTCGATTAATTCCTTCCTGGCATTTTCGTAATCTGTGTCTAGTTCTAGTGGTTTTGCGCATATTTTGAATATTCTTTTACTTCTGTAAAATCGTCGAACTATTTTCAGCCAATGCTGTCGAAAAGCATTAGTAAATATAGTTTCTTTAGTGTACTATAGGATCACCTTGTGCAACAGTACTGGGGAAAAGCCTTATTGCTTATACATTTTCTTTTCGAGAAAGAAAAGTCTATAAAAAATCACAAACTTATCTAAATTCCTAAATTCTTCAATTTGAATAGATTGATTTTTTTATGTTTCAAGAAAAACAAAGCCTAACGAAAAGATAAATTTAATGTTTTTATATATATTTTGTGTAGAATTATTTATTCACAGGACCTAATTTAGACAATACACTTGAATAGTTGGGGTAAACATTTAACAATAATGCTATATTTTTTGTCATTTTACCTGCGAACCTTCCCATAGACCACCCCTTCCCAAAATGTGAAACAATGATTGTTCATGCATTAATTTCTACTTCATACTAATAAAAAAAAAAAAGAAACAACAAAAAACAAAGCTTCATTGACAAATAAAAAGCACACAAAAGGCTACAATTATCTATAAGGTATGCATGGTTTAGAAGAACATGTAGTTTTGCAACAGAAGAAAAGGTTAAACCAGTTTTTCTTATTTGGCATTCTCAATCTTAAAAAGAAGAAAACTGAATAAAAGTTGCATGTATAGTCTCTTGTCTAATATCAATGTAGAAAATGTTTTTTTTAATTCTTCGGTACACCAGGTCATGGAGTTGAATGACTTCTAACAACTTCTGAGAAAATAATAATAGAACATCCCACAAATTGTTTTGGGATTAATGTCCTAATCCACGAGTAATGGAGGAAATGTTTCAGTTTGCTAACAAGGAAGAATTGATGTAGGAATTTGAAAATAATGTTTCTATTTAAGCGTATGAAAATACATACAGGTGTATATTGTTTAATTGTATGTCGGGAATTTTCTTCTTTGGGGGTTGTTCCTTGAAGTGTGTTTTAGTCTCCCTTTGCAATCAATATAGGGACAGTGCTTTTTTTACTTAAAAAAATAAATAAATACCCCCCCACCCCCCGAAAAACAGCTAGAGATTTTTCTCATTTCAGTCAACGTTCAGTAAACTATCCTCTGTATGGATCACTAAAAATATATCTTATCTGGGGAACTAAAGGCAAAATTGGTCATATGGATGTACAGCCGACGTCAGCATAATGTATATCATTACTGTACGTATCTATCCCTTGTATTCATATAAACAGGGATTCGGTAAAAAAAAAAAAATATAAATACATGTAGTGTCTTCCCGCAAATTTTCATTAAAATATATAAAAAGTGTTAACTATTTTCGTTGAAAGGCAATAGGAATAATACTCTATAGGATTCTCGGGAATAATAACGAAAGGTCAAGTTATTAAACACTGAAAGAAATACCTAGTTGATTTAACTAGTGTGCCTAGTAAAGCGTTCGACGTGATTAGTAATCGCTCTGTTTACTAGCTAAGATAGTGAAAAGTGGAGTAGTGGTCGTAAAAATACTTAAATACCTAGTGAAAGTTACTTATAAGTTCTTAGATTTACTCGTTATCTAGTAAATCTATCCAATACCTAGTAAAACTACTTTTAAGGTAGTGATTGTATGGACAGTAAATTTACTAGTCTTCCCAGTGACTTTCACTAGTTATTTTTTTTACAGTGAACAGACACACACATTTAAAAAAAAAATGATAATTTAGTAGTATTCAGCTAATTTTAAGGGAAAATTCATTGACAAGCAAAAAAAGTTAGTATAGGTTATTATTTAGGGGGTGCAAGAATAAGGTAGTTTTAACTTTAAAGTTTCCAATCATTTATTATTACTATATATCGGCAAATTTATATGGAGTGACATCCCCACGGTCATAATGTTCAACATTTGACGACTGGTATAGGAAATTTATCTTCTACAGATAACGAATGGTAGAATATTCACCCCCCCCCCAAGTGTTTTCCCTTTTTCATCTGCCTGAAAACCTATGGTTATAGTATGACCTGTTGAAATTCACACTACCGTCAATTTATTTACACCTTTTTTCTCTTTTTTCTCATTGTTAAAAACATGCAAACAAAATATATGGACACGTCAATTGAATTATTTCAACCCACGAAGAATAATGGGAAGTCTTCTCGTCCAAGCAATGACGAATGGTATTTATGAAAGTTTTATCTAAATTCCTAAATTCTTCAATTTGAATAGAATTGATTTTTTATCTTTCAAGAAAAACAAAGGCTATAACGAAATGTAGAATGTTCACCCCCCCCCCCTCACCCCAAGTGTTTTCCCTTTTTCATCTGCCTGAAAACCTATGGTTATAGTATGACCTGTTGAAATTCACACTACCGTCAATTTATTTACACCTTTTTTCTCTTTTTTCTTATTGTTAAAAACATGCAAACAAAATATATGGACACGTCAATTGAATTATTTCAACCCACGAAGAATAATGGGAAGTCTTCTCGTCCAAGCAATGACGAATGGTATTTATGGAAGTTTTATCTAAATTCCTAAATTCTTCAATTTGAATAGAATTGATTTTTTATGTTTCAAGAAAAACAAAGGCTAACGAAATGATAAATTTAATGTTTTTATATATATATTTTGTGAAGAATTATTTATTCCCAGGACCAAATTTAGACAATACACTTGAATAGTAGGGGTAATGACGAATGGTATTTATGGAAGTTTTATCTTCAACATTCGAAGAACGGAAGGTTGTTTAATCGATTACCCCCTCCTCCTTCGACTAATTTTCCTCTCTCTTTTTGGGTACTTCTCTTTCTGGAGGGCTTCCGTCAAACCACGACCTATTTCACCTTATATATGTTTTTCTTCTTTCTATGTTGAGAAGCTGCAAGTAAATAAAAATACACGTATCTCTGAAATTTTCTGAAATTCGTTTAAAAATAAATATAAAATAACAGTTACTTTTCATTCATCTCCGATATATTGATTCAAATCATAGGCAAATATTTTCAGTTTTTGTGAGATTTTTGTAAATTATAGAGATTTTACATTAAGTATACTTTAATATTAGATGAAATATGAAATAAAATTTGGATATAATTGAGATTAAATTTTTTCACTTCTTATCTGTCGCGCTATAGGCATTCTGCCCGCCTTATACGCCCATCTTCTTTGCATATAATATTTTTTTTCATTGTAGCAATTTAATTTATCGATATTGACCAATTAATGATATTTCTTGTCTTCTTTCAAAAATTATTCTTCTAGTCCACATTTAAAATGTACTCCATATAGAACGTTTAAAAAAAAAATACATGTACGCAGAAAAAAGACGTTTATAATTTGCATGATTGAAATCATACCAGCGGCAGTAGAAAAAGGAAAAGAACTTGCATGTTGTTAGAACTTTTTTTTTTCATCCTACTCATTATTTCAATAAAATATGTTCAAAACAATTTATTCAAAGTTTTTGTACGATGCAAACGAAGGGTTAGTCACATTGCAATGTTTCCTATGAGATTGCGGAAGAATATTGTTTACTTGCAAGTTATTAAATGATTGGTCAACGACACCGTCCTAGAGACCGCTTTTCCATGATTTTGTTCTAGAAACCTCTGCTTTTCTGCTACTTCCTGCGATTGGTCTTAAATATATGCTATCTAGTTTTTGATACCACCTTTCCGCGATATTATTGGTCATGGTTAGCGCTTAGCATCAAACTGTTGGTATTCACTTGTAACGCACCCCCCCCCCCCCCTCCCGAAAATTCACTCGGTGGTAAATTGTACTAGCTCACTGCGTGATAAAAGTTAATTGAATTTCGCATTAAACACTGGTTGGCATTAGGTGTCGAACGTTATGGAAATGTTAATACAGGAATACCTTGTATTAATTAATGTATTGTACACGTTTAGAAAGGTCAATGTTTTAAGTAGTAATGGTAAGTAAAATATGCAAGTCATTATTACTTGCTAAAATATGCCATATAGTAATCAGGGCAATATGTTTTATCTAATTAACAGAAGAGAAACATTGTTTATTTGTATGTTGTTTAACGTCCCTCTCGAGAATTTCTCACTCATATGGAAACGCCACCACTTGCCGGTGGAGAG